TTCGTAATGATGCTCCCCGTTGCGCCGGTGTAATTCTCTAGCTGAATCGGCTTAATATCTTGTTGCTCTAGTTGTAGCTTCCGTGCAAAGCGCTCGGCCATGACCGCGTAAGATGTACACCCAGTATCCGGTAAGGTTCTACAATTGCGTTCCTTATTGACTATCGCAGATACAGTGAACTCAGGGGCGTCGAAACCGACAGCCCGTCGAAACCGTCTATACCCAGTGAGTACATTTTCTTTTAGACATGGTCGCCAGCTTGGCAGTTGCATCAACTGTTCGACTGGCCCCTGTGAGAGTCTTTTCACAGGAGCAGGTCGTTTTCCAACTCGCTGGCGTCACCAGCCTGCGTCGCAGCTTGCTTGATTGGTTCGTCATCATCTAGCATCGGTCCGACGGCCCGCGAGGCGCGAGGCTGCTTCGCGGCAAGGTGGTTTGGCGGGGGAACAGCGCCAAGATACGGGCAGCCCTTAATCATATGGTCCGAGGCTCCGCAACGCAGACATCTTCCTTCCGTGCGGCGACGGGTTCGCTCAGTCTCGTCCACCCACTTCGCACGGCGACGTTGACGGGCTAAGATCGCTGAAGAGGGCTCCCAATCCATAGTGTCCCCGGGGTTCACTGCAGCCGGAGCTGGGTTCACTGGGGGTGTGGGGGCATAGGTGGTGCGGCTGCGATTTGTGACTGGAGAGTTTCTCCCGCGCCACCTAGCTCGGGCCGTACCCTGCGCGCGGAAGGCTTCAACTCGGTCTGCAATCACCTGTAGCTGCTGGCAGTACCTTTCAAAGCTTGATTCTTTGACCACGCTGAAGAGTTGCATCTTCATCTCTGTATTAAGGGTGCCGTCGATAAAGGTTCGCTTCATGTCATCAGTCCAAGTATAGCCTCCTGCTTCCATCAGCAGTCGGTTGAAGTCGGCTAGCACATCGCTAAAGGGGCGGTTACCCTGCCGTAGGCGGCGTAGTTCTTCCATAGCCTTCTCTGCACGATTCCTGTCCCGAAACATCAGGTCAAGCTGGCTGATCATGCGCAGCACGTCATCTCCCGTGGCAGCACGGTTCTGAGCGTATTGATCCATCCACGGGCTCATCGCTATCGCGGCCTGGTCCTTGAGCCTGGTGAAGGCATACCACATGCAGTTGAATGGGCTGCCAAGAGCTGCTTGGTCGATTTCCAATTTTGTCATCAGACTGGCACGGAAAACGCTATACGCGGCTTTATTGATGCCGTCATACCGCTCTGGATCTGGTAGAATCGGCTTCGGTCTCCTCGTTGGGTCATCTGTAGGGGTAGCAGCGGGGGTAGGTGCTGCAGGAGTCGTCTGGGGTGTAGGTGTTGCTGCTGTAATGGTAGCGGCTGTCTGTCGTTCTTCTATCTGGGCCATTCGATTGGCGATATTCTCTAACTGCTGGGCCATCTGGGCCATGAGGTCTAACTGCGAGCCACCTTGCGTCTGTGCTCGTTCCTGGCTGGGTCCATCCACGGGGTTCTCGCTGTAATTCATACTGTCTGCGTTGTCACTGGCTGTTTCGTCTGGTTCGGCTCGGCTGGTTCCGCTGGTTCGCTCGCTGCTTGGTACGGTCGGTCCGTCTCGTCTCGCTGGTCTGGCTCTGTCTGTCTGTCTAGGGCGAGCGATTTCTAATGTCACGGGCTAGAAGCCGATTCAACCTATAACCTAGGTTTGGACGGTAAGAAATCGCTAAGAGGTTCTAACTGGGGCCGCAGCGGCCGAACACGAAGAGGGGTGTGCGAGGGAGAAACGGGGTCACGTGACATGGCTGTGACATTACTTAGTACAGAATCACGTGACCTAGCCTGCCTGAGGCAGTTCGCGAGTGCTCAGTGAGCTCGAGCATTCAGCGGGCCTTGCCCGCTACATCCTAAGGTAGTTATATCTCCTAAGGTCATAGAGAATATAGGCATCTTAAACATTAGATTATTGTATTTAAAGGAATCTTTAATAAATAATAGTATCTCTAGGTTTTCTAGATTCTTTTTAACCTTCTTAACTACCTCTAGCTTTGGCTTCTAATCTACTAATCATTTCTCTTCATTAAGATAGGGGCAGGTTTATAACTAATATTACTAACCCCCTCTGCATATCTAACTGCATGCACATCTCTTAGTATCTTACTTATTTCTTTAGAAGGTTGCAAACACAGTGTTAGTATTAGTCTGGTAGGTCTGGGTGGTAGTTAGATCACTCTGGATTACATAAAGGACCTGTTTAAACTTTATCTTTTCTAGTTTAGTTTTCATCTGCAAGCATAGTGAATAGTATAGAGGTATGTTAATCTCCCTGAGTATAATTAAAAGGTCTTCCACATCCACTGTAAGTGTACTTAGGGAATGCTCTTAATTATATGGTAGATAGCATGGTAGTAGTAATGCCTTTATTAGTGAACTAATTACTAAGGTATAAGATGCTTACCTCTTAGTAATTAATAATATCTCTATAGGTCATATGCTACCTATATAACCCCTATGGTTTACTATATATAGGCTTACTATACCTAATAACTACCCCCTCTTTATATACTATATCTCTATAGCTAAAGGTTTATTTATAATACTCTTTATCTTATATAAACTATATATTCTTATTAATTAAATTAAAATAGTAGATATTATTATTACTTAATAGTATTTACTAGTATTTACTGAAACAGATATTAGAAGGAGAGCTTAGTTAGACTATTTAGTAAGTAATTAAATGCCTACTTGCAGATGAGGAATTTAAGGAGGGTGTAGATAGAGAACTTATATATATTGCTATATATTCACAGAAAAGAGTATAGGTTAGTGTCTCTGGACAGACTATAGAGGGAATACTTAAAGATCTCCTCCTAGTCTATAACAGCAACAAAATTATTAGGGAATAGATAATAAGAGTGTCTGCAATTATGGGGATGGCATCCGCCAGAAAAAACTGCCAGTGTGCCGGTGATCAACAACTTACTATCAATTGTTGCGCAGCCATGGATGGGGCATTCAACAGATCCGACTGCGTTCTTCAAGACGCTCGCGAGTCAGAATTTAGGGGCTGCTGCGCGCAACGTGGGGGGCGAGCGCAATGCGTCTAACATGGTACATAACTGCCAGAAGCCATTTATACCGTCTCTTTACTAACTCGCCCTCCTTCTGCCATGTAGGCGCAATGCTCTCAAGGCATTCTAATTTATTGCGAGTCCAATGGTCTATAAAGGTAAGTGCTGCAAAATATGGTGTCTTTCGTGGCCACCAAGGACTTATAGCCCGTGCCTTACTAACTCCCTATTTGTTGCAGGCTATACAACGACTACTCGCATCGGCCTGGATGAGTTGGATGTCAGTGCAAGGACAATAGCGGCTTGCCTTAGTGTCTGAGGAAGGGAGGTCTTTGTAGCATTCATTGCACAATATTGATGTTTAGTTACTACATGCAAGTGGAAAAACACAGATCTGTTCAGACTCTGTATTATTCGACCTGATAATTTTATCAATCTGTATGTTTGTAGTTCTGTGTGAAATATTATGCACCAGGTCAAGGGTTCGAAATGTCCAGTTCTTATCAACAAATGACCTATGACCACTATGTGACGTGAAGAACTGAAGGATTGATCAGGATCGTCTTCATGGTTGGCGGATTGGCATCACCTACTTGACGTAAAAAGAGCCTACTAGCCAGAACCGCTTGCGGCTTGACTACCTTACTTATAGAATGATGATGCAGAGATGATTAATATCAAGGAACCTGGTGTTATCAACATTCTGGTCTCTAGTGCTGCTGAGGCATTAAGATAGAAAGAGCACTGGGAGATCTGGCAACAGATTATTATTTGTGCAAGTATGGCTGCATCACCAGGACTATAGAGGCAACACTATATTGAGCCATTCCCTCCAGCATGAATAGAAGTTGCCTGTAAAACGACGCTTGCTCTACTTATATTTATATAACAAATACCTTTTTACAACAATCGATTCTAAATACCATCCCAGCCTTTAAGAGCAGCATTGGCACCCCCATATCGACCCGATGTCGCTGAGTAAAAGACGTGTCCAACAAGACACAGAGTCAACGCTTCCGCAAACCGTTGCTGACCGTCCGACAACTGCCCTGACAGCTTCAATCTTTTGAATTCCTCCGGAAAGATGGCGGGACTTGGACACCAGGAAACACCTCAAGAAGTATATGGTTGCATTTAGCAAAAGGTCTAGACAGTGCATCGGGATGAAGTACGTTTCTCCTATCTGATGAGAATGAATTGAAGGTATACTGACGTCTTAAGCTTGGCCAAATCGGAAATGCTGTTAGCTATCTCCAAAGTCTTTCGGGAAGTGAAGTTTGAACTGTTCGAGACGACGGTCGAGGATGTGACCATGGCACATGAGTTATTTCTCCCATTTCCTAAAGTAGGCAGTAAAGGTGTGCGGGTCGCTATCAAGAGTTGATGTTACTCAGTTGCTATCTCCATGCATAAGCCATGTGGCTGTTGTCTAGTATTTGTTCTCAGAATTGAAATAGGGAACCCAATGGAGATCTTGTTATCCAGGAGTCGAATACACCAGGTTAACCGTCTTGTTGGTTTCTATCATGCTATATCAATACTTGAAGAATTCTCAATAGATATCTTGACTGCCATTGAATGGACATATACGAGCATAGGGTGTGCAAAACAGGGCTTCCCGTCCGCTCAGCCGTACTTAAGCCAGTATCATCAATGAGGCCAGAAGTTATATGCGCCCTTGAAGACTTCCTGCTTTACAGGTGAGAGACACTAAACTATAGGGTGAGTGTGGGTGAGTGAAGGTAAGCTAAGCAATACTATCTAACAGCATGGGTCAGCTAGGTGATTAGACACCTTGGATTCAAACATCGGTAGCTAAGATACAAGAATTCTAGCATGGAGAAGGGAGGAACAGAGAAGTAGTCCCCTCTACCCAAGGCTGATGTGATTCTGAGATGCCAATTCCTCTGGTAGATCTGGGATGTCAGACCTTGTTACTGACCGATAGTGAAATTATTCTGTCTGTAGGAGAAGCCTTTTCTTTGCATCCGAAAACTGCAGTTTCACGTCGACTGCATTCGCGCTTCGACTCATCTGACTCGCAGTCGGATGTTCGTTGTTGTCGCCGGCCAACAAATCGTCGTCGAGTCCATGGTACAGAGGGGCCAAAATGGACGACTTCCACAGGTCAAGCTTAAAGCGCCTATTCAGGAAGATGGTTGATACCAGGAAGATAATCGCCGACAGCAGCAGCCCCGCAGGTAAAATAATCCAGGTCCAATCCACAGCCACATAAACCTCAAAGCGAGACACTGTCCCGGGCACAGTATCATTGCCACTCTCAAGACTGAGCTTAGTCAACGACCCTGCAATATTGCCCATCACATTGGCTAAACTGGTGTCGAGGACCCTTTGGAAATTGTCGTTTCGCGTGGAGTCGTAGTAATCAGTGATCCAAGCACCAATTTCAGAGACGTAGTCTCGGGAGTAGTATGCGTAGCCGGTTATCTGATAAGGGAAGTTGTTGTGGATGTGCTCTAGTCCACAAAAGGCGAATTCGGTGGCATTTTCCCAGTGGCTTGTGTCATCTCTTGGATCACCGGCAACGAGTTCAACATTCACCGGGCCAGGGTCGCGTTTCCAGCATGTTTCAGGTGTTCCAGTGTAGTTCGCAGACTCTGGGCCGTTAAGATATATGTGGTAAAAGGGGTGTCCGTACGTTGGGGAAGAGGTATTCACAGATGGAACGCCGCGAGAAACAGACACATGGTAGGTCCTGGTACACAAAGACAGGATGCATTCGGTCACGCGGCCGATTTTGGGATTCGATCCATTATCTGGATCGTCTATCTCAGCGTGCGCGACGACGAACATGGGATTCTCCACGCCGAGATAAACTTCCGTTGGTACGGGACTGAAAGGATCTCCAAGCTCGGGGTTGTAGTTGACAGACCAAATGACATCTTCTGGAAAAGTCATTTGCAGACTACCTCTGCTAACTGATCTGACGCTGATATTAAAGTTAGCCGGCTCGCCGTGTGGGAGAGTAAGGTTGCATGGTGTCACACCCAGATGAGGATCACTGCGGGTTAGATTAAAATCATCGCAGCCAACTAGGGTGGCTTTGGAGGTGACGTCCTCACATTGGCTGCACCATCCCACAGAGTCAAAAGCAGGCCATGTGCAGTTTCCTGATGGGCAAGTTGGATATACATCGAAATTGTTCGTCCATATTCCAGCGTTTATGGAGTTGACAAAGTTGATGTCGTCTCCGGAAGGGCCATTAAGAACGAATGCTCTAGCTTGTTTTGCGGGCGCCTGATCCGATACACTCTTTGTCTCTCGGATAGGATAACTCACGATCTGCTGAATGAATGGATCGAATGCAAGAGAGAGGAGGGTGATCGCAGCCCCGAGAGATACCAGGGAAAAAGCTTTGTGTTCGAATAAGATCATCATCGAACCCAGGGGCCCACGGCTTGCATCATCAAACGACTGCATATCATGAAGCCGACTCCTTTTGTTTCGAAACCATACCCATTTCAATTGGCCAATGGCTTCAGCCACGGCAAATATGAGAGAGGACTTGCAGCCAGTCCCAAGCACCGAGACGATTGTATTCAGAGTTAGGCCGTATTTGAGATTCGGGTTTGGTTTCTTGTCATATACCCACAAGACTGCGACTATGGCGATGAAGCAAAGGAAACTGAAGCTCATCGCAATGCTTTCGCCGAACCATGTATCTAGAGTCAAAGATTCCCAATCGAAACGGTTTGCACGTCCTTTCGCACATTTGGAATTTTTGGCATCGAGAGCTGATTCAGTCTGCTGCAGTTGCGGAGTGCCTTCGTCGGCTTCTCTGTCGCCGCTGACATTGGAAGATAAGCCAAAGCGAGACTGGAAGTTCTGGTCCTCCAAAACAGTGGGGTCAAGCAGTTCGTGGAATTCAAATGCCTCATTTTCATTGTTCCCCGAGGGGCCGCTGGGCATTTCTATCGACGGCATCCTCTAATACTGAGATCGTTTCACTTTTTGGGGCAAGGAGAGAAAATTTCTTGGTATTCCAAGGACAACTGGTCAGTTCAATGAGGCTGAAAGTCGACAAGAAGGACAAGGAGGACCCTTGTGCGACTCATCAACCCTGGTGATCAATGCGCATAGTGAGTTCGAGGTGCAGCCTTGCCCTGCCCAAGCCCCACAGCGTGCGATGGTAGGAATGTCGATCAGTTCGCCAGCCTCATTGTGCACTTACCCGGTCGGGAGTACACCAGATAGGATTCCATCACTCAGTGGCTTTTCAGCATTTCAATATAATGTTAACGATGATTCATGTCGTATTATGAAGCAGAAATTAAAGACGAGGCGAAGGGAGTGGTGATGAAGACCATTCTGCTTGGTTCAGGGGTCCTGTGGTGGCTGTTATGTAATTGGCTGGTTTGATCTTACCTTAAACACCGAACTACTTAGCATCTGCACTATGGCAAGCCATTGGGACAAAACTGAAAAAATAACTTTTGGTATTTAAGTATGTACACCACTCAGACTTCCACCTAAGTAGAATTACATTTTCATACCATTTGGTATTCCTACTATATGATAATTTAATGATTTGATACCCCTACTAAGCATTAAATCATGATATGGTGTCAATATTGAATCGTTATATAGTAGGGATATCAAATCCCTATATTGAATTGCCATATAGTAGGGATATTAAATCATCATATAGTAAGGATATCAAATGATTCGAATCGTCATATAGCAGGGATATCGAATCCCCATATTGAATCATCATATCGAATCACCATAGAGTAAGGATATCAAACCCCATATAGTAGGATTCGAATTGCTATATAGTAGGGATATCAAATAATATAGTATCATTATATTGATATTAAATCCTTATATACTAAGGTAGTGCCCAATATAGGTAGAATTTATATATATATAGAAAGATAAGGGGGTGCCTCACCATGGATACTGCATATTCAATATATATATATTTCAAGTATAGTGGTATTCAATATCCCTACTATATGATGATTCAAATGATTCGATATCCCTACTATATGACGATTCGAATCCCTACTATATGGGGTTTGATATCCTTACTATATAGTATTCAATATCAGTGCGGTGCGTGCGACCGTAGGGAGGGCGGGAGTGGTGAGACGTAATCATTGTAAAAATACCAAAAGTCCACATCGTAGCTATAAGGTAGTCCGCCGAAGGTAATGACCAATCTTATTGATCCTGGCCACTCCCTGCATGGCTTAAATCACCCTTTTCACTTGACAGCCTTTCTAATGGCGCATAATTATGTAAAATAATCATAAAGATAAATAGTAAGAGATAGATCACAAAAGAAACACTTATAGATAGCAAAAGGAGATAATAATTAAGCAAAGACGAGGCCCTCTAGCACTAGAATAGGCTATAAGGAGTCCAGTTACTACAGAATTACTCACTCACCCACTCGAGCCATTGCCTCACAGCTATCTACCCACGGCACAAAAGTGATATGCTCAGGGGGCGAAAATAAAAGCGCATTATGAAACACAGAAGTTTCAAACGAAATGGACAAAAGCAATGTAAACCACAAAGTTTGCTTTGCAGCCTGAGCTGGACTGGACGGGGAAGCAAAGAGAAACGAGATCTCCTCACATCGCAGCCGCGAAACTGACGAAGACCACGGCCGCGAATGCAGCGGCAGAGACTTGCTTGTTGGACGAGGCGGCACCAGTAGAGGATGGCGAATGCGCCGAGGAAGAACTGCTCGCGCCAGAGCTAGAGCTAGAAGAGCCAGAAGATCCGCTTGTAGCGGTAGTGGTAACGATGGTAACGAACCCAGTCTTGGAAGATCCAGAAGCGGTCGTGGTAGCGTCGGAGGTCGTAGAGCTAGCGGAGCTGACAGAGGAGTTGAGGACTGTAAAGAACATATTAGTTATAATTACACTAATTCTTCATTCAAAATATGATAGCATGACAGTATCTTCACAGAACTTACCAACTTGGTGGCCGGCAGAAGCACAAGTGTTGGAGTAGAAGGTCATCGCGGTCTGGGTGTCGTCACCGCAAGACTGCGAGATCTGAGATTGTACAGCGCTACTGGCTGAGCCGCAGAGCGAAGCGAGATCGGCAGGGTTGCTCTCCGTGCTGTGAACAGACTGTTAGCGAGCAGCTTTCTGGTAGATAGATAGCTTATGTCCATCATATGTCGCAGCACGTACCCAATAGCGGCCAGAAGGCATGAAGGCGGATCAGCGGCCACTGCAACGCGGCAGAGTGCCAGGAGAGAGACGACGAAAGCAGACTTTGCGAAATACATGTTGATCAGAGGAGTTGTCTAGTAAATTGCGTAATGTGCAGAGAAACTGGTCGAAATCAAAGCGGACTGGCGTTCAACGGAACCGAGGGATAATTGGAAATAGAAGTTGATGTACAAAAAGAACATAAGGAAAGACGTGTGTAGGTGAAGAGAGTGACAGGGGATAACAATTGAAGAGAACAGACTCAGCCTGGGGATCTACTACTGTCTAAGCCTTTAAGGCTGCGCCAGAGTGGGCCCCATTCCAATGTTCCTGTCCGTGTACTCCCACCATGTTTATATTTTAATCTTTGTAACCGGCAAAGCATGTTCCTATACGCTTAAGACATAGATCCTGTATACTGTATAGTGTGATGACCCTGCGCTCAGCACATACCACGATGCTCAGGGGATTAGAAAGTAGAACCCACCCCTGAGGGCCCTGACCTAGTATGATTTAGTATGAGTTTCAGTTAGTAGTTGGGTGGGTGACCAACTGACCACCAGCGAATCCCCGCTGTTGTATGTTTTTATGTCTTACTCTTTTTAATACTCTAGAATGCTTTGCATTTTGCTAGACAAACAGCCTACTTTCTCTACTACTTTCCCCCTCTTCTTGCTGCGCCTATGTCATAGTCATTGTTGAGGAGCTTTCTTTCTGGCGCGTGGTAACCTAGCATGATTGCAGAATGAATCTAGGAGCGATAACAGCGACAGAATCCGTGCCACAAAACTGACGGCAGATAGGATAAACCAGGAAAGCGAGGAGCGAAAAACAAAAGCATGACCCTAGGAAGCACGAGACAAAATCTGGTAATATAGAATAACCAGAATTATTAGTACAGCAAGGACGTACAGGATTGCATAATGACAGAACCCCATCATTTGTAACATGCGCTCCGGGAGACCAAGAGTCAACGGTATCCATATGTACTCGTTCCAATTCATCATCCTGAATTTAAATGCGTCGTTATTTGTACACACTGGTAATCCTTTGCTTCTCACACCACTGAATTCGACGATTCTCTCGAACAACATCCTTTGTATACAAAATTCCAATGTAGCCCTGGACGAGTAGTGCCGACAGCGCACCCCAAACTGCTTTTTATACAGCCCTCTCGTGGACCTAGCAAAGCGGAATACAATCAGACAATCGGGCTTTCTTCACCTCTCCCTCGTGCTCACCATCACAGAAAAAAAAGGATGGACTGAACACAACGAATGCCCCCACTGCCACCGCCACTGGCACCATATCCAAAGCAATGAGATACCCTTCAGTGCGCATCAAATGACCCTGCCATCCACCTGATAGCTCGGCGATTCGGTATGCATTGCGAACAAACACCATCACAGTCGAAACCCACATAGCTAGCATGACCGGCCACCCTATGACCGATAGTTGCCGTATACCCTTCGTGCGCAGTCTGAATATTGTCCCCAACAACAATGCCACAAACAGGACAGTGTTGCTGAACTGGAAGATGATGCCAGCCCGCATTACGTTAGACCCGTGGTCCAGTTGGTCCTGGTTCTGTGCACTTGACACCAAGACTCCCCCTACAGTTTGAATGGCTAATGAGATGATGTCCAAGATGATAAAACCAACCCAGAAGAATTTGGAGGGGATATGGAAGAGCCGAGGTCCAGTCTTTTCAACACTGCATCTTATCAGCAACGCATCACATGCCCTTCGCTCAGTAATGCTCACATTTTACAGAAAAGGACATAGTCCGCGGCGGAAATAAAGACCGGACTGATGATGAGACTGCAAATTTGGATCATGAATGGCATCCAGTCGGCTGGCTGAGATGAAGTCAGCAATGGGTCCCCGTAGGGACGGCCTTAAATAACCTGACATACTGCGAAATGAGCCCAGAGTCGCCCTCCCCAGCCAATGGCCTCACCCACAGCGGCGAGGGCAAGGGTGGTCATCCAGTAGTGTTTGTACCTTCCGAAGATAATCTGAATGATGCATGCAATTGTTGCTGTGCCAAAGTAGGCAATTCCAAACAAGGCTGCTGGCTCGCTGGGTAGATAACCATAGAAATCAGTTGACTGAGCCATGATGGCAAGAGAGAGGTCGACTTGGCTTTGGTCATTGTGATTGAGAATGACCGGAAAATCATATTATAAGGTAGATGGTGCCACGGAGATATTGTGCATTAGAGCAGGCACCCAGATTCAGAATCTTCCTTCACATTTATTCTTCTATTTGTGGTTGGCAGAATGTCCGCAGAACCTCCGCATTATATCCGCCGACTCCGCCTTAATTTGGTCAACCCCGTCACCTCCTGTCTCAAGTTTTCCACCAGGACAGGAGAATCTACCGCAGAAACACCGCGAAACTCCCGTACTTCGGACATCACTACTTTGTTCCTTGGTTTACGCCCTGCGTTTGCCGGAGACCATCTCGGACATTCTGATCTGAAATGCAGCTCAAACGAGGACTGCCGCGAGAGTCGTGCGATTTCTGCCACCGGCGAAAGGTCAAATGCGATCGGTCACTGCGCGCAAGGCAGGGCCTTGCCTCATGTTCCCAATGCACCCTGCGTCAAGGACCTTGTCTTTTGAATGATCCAACCGAGACACGTACACGACGGCGTGGCCGTGGAACTGCCCACGGAGGTAATACGGGCATGGCTTTAGGTGACGGAGGATCAAACATAGCAGAGGATGATAACCCAGCAGCCGCCCCGTTTGCTTCGGCATCCCAGCTCGAGCCTCTTCTGCCACTGGAAGATGATCATTCGGCATTATTACAGTATCCTGATGATATGTTTGCTGAGAATTTTCTTGGTTTGAGCCGTGACAACATCTTCTTTCTCAATCAAGCTTTCATGGGCGACAGTGGAGGATCGATGGAATGGCTTGGCCAAGGGCAGAGTGCACATCAAGATAGTCAAGTCTCTACCATCGGTGACGGCCAGCCTAGCAACGCCGAACCACAGGCGCAAATTCGAACGGAAGAATCTCAACAGTTCCCTTGGCTGGACAGCGTTGCAGATTCGAATACCGTTTTTACTGCTGCATTACATTGCTACTTCAAGTTCGCGGCGCCATGGCTGCCGATCCTCCTCGAGGACGCCTTCTGGCAAGACTACCACAACGGCCGAAGTAGCCATGTTCTGGCGTCTGCTATAGCCTGTCGCGGTATGCCCTTCACGACAGTTTCAGACAAATGGATTCTTCAGCAGCGCTTTGCGCACGACTTTCGAGAGGCATTCCTAGGTGCTCAGAGCATAGCATCCAATGATGGGACGATCAGACTTGACGACCTTGAAGCGCTGGCTCTCATGGTCAATTTCGAATACGAAGATACAAACAGTCCGCCGCTTCATTCAAATCTGGGAAAACTCTTCTTAAGGCACGAATCGCTCGTTATGATGACGTTACAGTCCCGTATCCAAGATCGTATCTCCACGGGGCCAGACTCATCAGTGACGTTGGCGAGAGCTCGGGAGCGACGTATGCTTCTTTACTGGCACGTCTATGGTCTTGATGCCTTTCACTGCTTAGATCGTAAGCAGATATCTCTGATTCCCGACAAGGACGCAAGCGACCATGACAGTTTTCCCCAGCACGAGGCTACGGACTTTTTCGACGCCGTCTTGGAACTCGCAGTCATTGCCCGAAAAATTCTGCGACAGTTGTGTAGTAACTCGGCAAAACGTCGTGGTATCGAGTCCAATGATGTGCATGACATATATGCACAAATCTATCAATGGAGGAACCACACTTGTCCTCCGCATTTGCGGAGGCATGAACAAAGTCCAGGTATAGTGGCGACTCACGATAATAACGAGGGTCACTCGACCGAGCTGAAGAGACATATTCAACTTCATCGGGCTGTGCTGTGGGCATTAGAGATCAATTGTTTGATGCAAGTTGAGTGTTTTGTATCCGACTTCGGCATCAAAGATAATGGAGACCTGCGAGCAGAGATGACTACAGCGCGCGTGGAATACGAAAGTCTTCGTGCTCTGAATGACATGATTGCTATATGTCACTGGATCGATCCGCATGCCATCTGCGATGAAGATGGCAAGCAGCACTCTCTGATCGATCTCGCGCCGTTGGCGTTACGTAATGCGTGTGCTGGGCTATGTTTTTGGACATGTCAACGCGGCATCAATTCGACTCAACTCTCCACTACCCGAGCCCCTTTGGGCAGAAGGGGGCCTCCAGAAAACAGTCAGAAACACCCTGCTCACGCTCATATCGAAAATGCGCAGCTTTTACGAGATGCAGCTGCGAAAGCAACGTCGCACAGGGACACGGCGGAGATTCTTGAGCGCCTCGACAAACAAATCGCCTTGCTCAAGGCAGAGATGGATAATGCTTTAGGAGCTAAGTAATGAAGATTGCGCGCCTGCACCCTGCTTGTATTAGCGCTTTAGATTATGATTTACTCTAGCGGCACGCTTGCTCGTATTAAATATCAAGTTGAAGGTATCAGATAGGCCGGAAAGGAATGGATTACCATAGCATCATCTTGTTCACTATAAACTGGGATCTGAGATCCTAGAGAATCTCTGGAAACAGGTGCAATATAATGTTGATCTAACATCGTCTCTTGCTAATGCTTAAAATAGGAATTTCTCTGACTAAAGGTGTTTGAGATACTTAGAGACACTCAGTATTAAACTGCGCCTCTTTATCCTACAGGAGAAAGGAAGAGCTCTGGATGAAGATCAAACTGTGACCTCATAAATATATCTCCTATTTTCAAGTAATCACCAACAGCAATTGTTCCAATCATCCAGTCATTATCCAGGCACAGCCGTCAGCTAATACATACTGCCTTATGTACATTAAGTGCGTGTAGTAAGGGCAGATGATTGTAATAGTGATCATAATATAAAGGTGACCCATTGGCTATGGTTTGACACCTCTATATCACCAGGATTGTGACTTTAGCGGCTATTCAATTTAAAGGTAGCACTGTTCCAGCAATGTGGGATGATTTTATGTTACTAACAGGCTTCAGTAGGCCTAGTAGCACCTGGCTAAGGTACATTAACCATCTTAGCGTGCACAAGAATCTCATAGTGTTCTAAGTTTATCTATGTTGCACCAGTCCTAAAACATCCTTCCAATATCATGCATTCAACTGACATACATCTTTTTAATCATGATGCGTACACCAGTCTCAGCAAACACAGGATGTCCCCATTAGATATGTTCAACCCTGGGGCTCCCTATTTTCTAGGAAGGGCTTGGATCAGCATATTAACATTAACTCTATCTGCTGTTAGGGACCTAGTAATAGCTGAGTTTTCTTGTGTACTAGCATGAGTACTTTAAGAGCAGAGTGAAGAAGAGAGGAGCAGGAACTGATTCACAAGAATACAAGGTACCTTCAGAAATTAAATAACTCCTCTATTTCTAACTATAATAGTTCTATTTCAGGCAAGTACACCACTGCTTAACTCACCTCCAGTGATAAGCTCTGGCATTCTCTACCTGCTGAATTCACCATTCATTCAACCCTTTCAGTAGTGAAAGAGCCTCATTCACCGCCACTTGCGCTCTTCCTTCTATACCAGAAAATTTCCCATAAGCAACTCCCCCTTCATATCCATCAACGAGCAGCAGAAAAGGTGCAATCAATCTCATCCTCACATCATCTTACTGAACCAATTACAGTCGCAAAGATCATGTCTGACTCAAATCCCACCGAGACACGCAATTGCCAGAGCTGCAAGAAGGCAGAATCCGAAAGTGCTCCCTTGAAGAACTGCTCCCGCTGCAAATCGGCCGTCTACTGCTCTCGCGACTGCCAGAAAGCCGACTGGAAGACTCACAAGAAGGTCTGCGCCAGCAACGCTCAGGCAAACGCAGGCTCCGGAACCCAGTCCACGGCTGATGCCAACGCCACCCAATCCACCAAAGCCCTGGAGGTTGACTTCCTGAAGCCGTTTCATCGCCTCGACGCAAAGACCTGGCTCCATGACCGCACCGAAAAGGATACCTACAAGTTACTAATCGACACTTACCGTCTCCGGCTAGACGACGACTACACTTTCACAGGGGATATTGATGCGAATAGCATCTATGGCGGTGCGACTGATGGCGGACGCGCTGGCTTCCGCCGGTTCCTGAAGCGCGTTGAACGCAAACCCGATCTCCTTCCGAGTTGGTGGACCCCAGCCAAAGCGGAGGAATGCGTCCGGTACGGCACGGATTCCGCAAACTGGAGCGATCTCGGATGTGCGGTGGAAAAGCACGACATTATCGAGCATTACGGAAACCAATTGATGCCGATGCAGCTGCGCATGTTCGGCGAGCAGGTGCTTGGAACTGGACCCGGTGGACACAAAGGAGCAGCGATGATGAAGATGCAGATGGCCATCGAGCGCGGAGGCGGCGGCGTTAGCTCACATATGGACATGAGCCACCTCTTCAGACATTGATCGGACGTTGTAGCTGTAGGCCAGGGGGTTGCTGTCAATCAGTACGTGGTCCGCAGACATTTACTTCGACAGTCTCCAGGAGAAATGTTCGTTGGCATGATGGGCCTGTTGTTGTTTCCCTTCTACGACCGTGTGCTTTCTCGCGATCGAACGAGGACAGGCAATGACATATCACATTTTTGTAAGCAGTTATGGAAAAAGGCGTTTATCAACTTGAGAGATTAGAATCTGGAGATAGCCAACCTCTTATTAATGGCTGAATTCTGGTCTGGTTCACATAGAATATGAATTGTGGGGTAAAAAGCAAAAGATTTTGACCTACGCAGGATTCGAACCTGCAATCTCTTGATCCGTAGTCAAGCGCCTTACCATTGGGCCAGCAGGCCTTGTTGGAGACAAGGCTCCACATTCTGCTTCATGTCCCAGGACAACTGCTGCACCTCGATATTTCTGTTCAGAACATCCTCTACATGCTTAATCTTCATTAACATGTCCTCGCTTATGTTTATTCAAAGAGCAGTGCCTTGGTCTCTCAATTTGTCATATTCTGCTTTTCCAACGTGATTTTTGGATGTTTCGTGACTAAATATCGGCAGACTGATGCCCCGTAAAACAAAATATATCTTTGCGTAACCGAAGCCCTAATAAATATGAACTGTCACTGGATAAATCATGCACTGATATCCCAGCTATTCGTAAATCAGCCTGACAATGAAACCGTACCACATGGAGAGCACTCAATCCATCCAGAATTCCAGGAGAGAGATCCAAGACTCCTATAGTCGGCATTGTTCGGGAGGTCGAATTTCATCTGGCGCAACTCTCCAAACCTATAAATATGACCTTTCTAGTGGCCGAACCTAGAGATTCCGACGCTATTCTTGAATTAAGATTGATTGCAAAGCATGATCTTTCAGTTCAGATTAGCAATAATCGGGTTGGACATATCGTAGCTTGTCTATATGTTCCAAGACACGTAGTGTACAACTCGCCTTCACGCGTCGTGGCCCTATCCTCGCAGCTATCGGCGGTTATACAATCACTCGAAATTTCAGATGCAGCAGGTTTGTCTATAGACTTTGGCTTACCGGCAGCGATCGCACACCTGTCCTATACCAACTCGGCCCTTCCTTCTCATTAGAGAGAGAAAATGACGGCATTGAAACTTTATAAGAAGATCTCTCTTTCAAGCTGAATCATTCAATGGTGTTTTGGAAAGACGATTGGTTGCGGTGCCTTGCTTGATTTATGCAATGTAATCGCCCAGCCGCTTGACGGCTATGTCTTTGCTCAGTGGTTATGACATCGTTGGTTCGTGATCCTGGAAGGTAGGTATGGTCTTATATCTAGACGCAGCTGGCACAAGATAACGTATACACCTCCATCCATTAGTAAACTTGGCCATAGTAAAATGACACATTAAGGTAGCGGGCAATGCAGGGTCACAACGAACATGTCACGCTGATAGTATCATCCAAATTCGAGCATCGGTCGAATTTGCGAGGCTCATGCGAAGAATTTGCTATAACCCAAGCTCAATTATCTCGCCTAGAGATTAACTTCGCCCATGTATTGAGTAAGATATGACTAGGAGACGAGGACAAAGAATGTATCTTTTTTTTTATGGTATCTGAAATACTGGCTGAGGATTACTCAGGACAGGAAACCAAGACAGCAGCCGAGTCCTCAAGGTTCGCGAACTTTTCCATATGTGTAGTGAGCTATCTCTATCTTCGGATAGTGAGATTGCGTAGCGGCAACATGGTCTTAGCAATTCCTCACGAAATGTATCTAGGAGTGACAAGGTGAGAAGGTTCTGTCTGAACGGGAGAAGGGGATGACCACTCGACTCAATGGATGTACAGACAATTTATTCCCTGGTTTCAACAAGAGCGGAAAGGAAGTTCCGCGGAGGACACATATGAATAACTAGGAGAACTGCAATCGACGAAGGACAGCAACATAGAGTCGTCAAAGTCGGCACGAGGCGATACAGCGACCAGAAAGTCAAGTTCTTCAGGTATGACCAACATCGTCGCCTTGGATGGTCTGCGTGGCTCTGTCGATCGTAGTGCTCTATGTATTTCCTACAGAATATGACTACCAGGCGGGTATTATCTCCTCGTGCAACTTGGCTCTCGACTGCGCTGGGATTCATGGTGAAAGCATAGCATAGGCACGTTTGCTGCAGCTACAGCACAAGTACCATTTCTAAGACATCTTTTGAGACAGTACTACTAATCCGCTCTGCGCAGTCTGGCAGCTGTTCACAGGGCTACAATTAGGGTCAAATGTGGTTGCGCTTGATAGTCGAAGGTGGATGCGTTTTGGCGCCCAAAATCGCGAGCTCTCTTCAAAAGCGTTATGATCAACAACTACTATCTCTTGAGAATGGTCCAGCACTTCTTCCTTTTCTGGAATGTGTACCCAAGTTGCGTGACTTGTAAGGCAAGCTAAGAGGTCATACCGGAGTACTATCGGTTTCAACGTTGAACTGGCACAACCATTATGTAAGAAATTGGATTAAGGATCTTCTACAATGCTTCTAGTCGCTCCTTCCGGGGTCCCCGACTGACGCTAAGATGAGGCCGAATGACAAACTACGGCTGGTGATCAGCGCGTAGTTTGTATAGTGCAGGGCTAGGGTGTCTCTTCAAGGATGCCTCGGTAGAATATTGGAGATTTCATTGACGCCTGGGAGTGGCGGTGCAGCGTTGTGGCCAGGTGGTCAAGTTTTCGCTACAGATGAAACCCCATATCATATTGTATTCTGTTCCACAGCAATCTATTTCTGTGGATGAGGAAGCCTTGTAGTCGATTATTCCGCTGAGTGATAGATATCCCGCAGGGCATGGCATTCCACAACGACTTTAGGGCATCTTCCGGTCGTCCCGTTCCCGCCCCAAGTCCGATGTCTTAAGATCTTTCAAGACCCTGGTCCCTAATTGGGTCTGATTCTCCTATTGTGGGGAGCTCGGAGAGACATGTGGAGTGACTGGGAATCAGGGTCCACAGCGTCTTGCCACTATTAACGTCGTTCATGCCATTATCTTGCGGGATACTGGCAGTAAAAGTGATGGAATAATGTCTTCAAGGTGTAAGATTCGTAGTCTGTGTTTTGTTCTAGGATTCAAGATCTTATACCGAGATGAGAGAACAATAATAACAGAGCGTAGAAGCTATCCTCATTATCTCCAGGACCAAAGATCCACAGCACTAGGTTTCTTAAGGCAATTTCCCTATATTTCAGGCAGTGGACCCATTATTGAAGTCATCTGAAGAACTAATTATAGCCATTGGCTAATGAAGTGCAGAAGGAATGATAACATAACCAGTCTGGATACAGCTGCATGTCTTAGACAGTTGCTTGGCGGTGTTGGCGCAGTCACTACCCCGTATCGTGGATATGGAAACCCTCGGATTTCGAGGATCTCTGTGAAGGTATAAAACGGCCCAATGCTATCCTTGTTCGTCTGATATTCATCAACAACAACACATCAATCACTCACAGCTCATTCCAAACACCCCCAGCTCTCAAATACCCTCCAGACCACTCAAAATGCAGTTCAAGAACTTCATCCTCGCCGCTTCGGCCGCCGCCTCTGCCTCCGCTGCCGCCGCCCAGAGCAGCAACAGCAAGACCTTCGGCCTCGTCGCCATCCACTCCGGCAGCGCTGTCCAGTACTCGGCCTTCAACGCCGCCCAGAGCAGCCTCTTCGCTGGCCTCAAGTCCCAGAACGCCAGCTGTGACCGCTCCGGGGAGCAGACCGCCACCTTCTACCTCGATGATGGTGCCCTGTACCTCTATGCCGCTTCCGCCACTCCCCAGGAGGTCTACGTCGACCGCTCCGGCATGGGTAAGCCACATCCACATTCCACCCTCACGGGAAAACAAGAGCTGACGGGAACTCTACAGGCCAGGGTAAGATCGGCTACACCACCGGTGCTCAGCCCGCCCCCCGCAACGCCGAGCGCACCGGCTGGGCCATCAACGACGGCCACCTCCAGTTCGCCGGCAACGACCTGATTGCCTGCCCCAACAGCATCGACGGTGCCTGGAGCATCTGGGCCTCTGCCGGCGTTGCCAACCCTGCCGGCAACGAGAACTGCGTCGGCATCGCTGCTCGTGTCGAGGAGACTTCCAACCCTAACAGCTGTGTTTACACCCAGTAGATGAGAACGTGAGCTGGGTCTTGCGGTCTGCTTATACAGTCGTTTGATTTGAGCGTTGCTTTTGATTTCTGTTATTGTTGCGGGTCCTGGTCAAGTACAGAGCTTTCCTGTACTATATCACTCCTTTACAGTACATTAAGATCACTCTTCGAATATACAGAACGTTGTTTTGTCGTTCGGGCGAAAATCACTCGTTTTAATTCCTTTAGTTCAATATCGCTAGGATACCGGGATACTGTACAGAGGGAGAAGTCCTGCCAAACTGAAATACGTAAAATGCCTTGACGCCTATCAGGACTGAAAGCGCTACCACATGCCTCTTACGCATAAGTAGTGTACCTGCCCCTGTTGCCCTCAGCCTATGACTTACGCTACAAAGTGTTGAAATGGAATACAATCTCGGATGAGCCGTCGTCCACCAAAACAAAAATCCATACAGCTATCAGCTACGTGCCTAGTTGATACTTGATCACCCTGCATCCCCTATCAATCATATCACATCACAACACAACAACACCATATCACGTCCGTCAGCAAGACTTGCCAACCCGCCACAGCGAACACCGCCGTTCGTGGCTCTCAGACGTTCCAGGACCGCGGGGGCACCCGAAGGCCCCCTCGTACGGGGCCGGCAACGGACTGCAGCTAGCATGGAACGCCAACAAGGACGCCAAACCCTACTTAAAAAGCATTCTGGCTTTGTCCTGGAAGACTGTCCATGCCCTTGGGCAATCGGATGCCGGTCCCGCGCGAGGAGGCCTTTGGGCGCCCCCGCGGTAAGTAACAGATATCGAGTCACGCAAACTCGTCTATTCGCTTCGTTCACGCGTCAGGGTAAATTCACGATGGCCATCCCAGGCTCAGGAGAGCCATGACAGCTCGGACAGCCTGGACGTCCATCTCGCTATCGAGATAGACAGCGCCAAGGATAGCCTCGACGGTTTGAGCCATCACTCCGGGGGAGACGATGGTCTGAGACGGATTGATGAGAATGAGATTCTCCAGTCCAGCTTTGGAGCCCATCTGTGCGAGATGGGAGTTGCTGGCTATCGACGAGACGATCTGGTTGATGTAGCCTGGTGTTTTAATTAGTGATCCATGTCAAGAACGTTTGTGACGAACAACTAGCCTCGACCGGCTTTGGCCTCGTAGCCGTCCATCACCAGAATCAACCGCAGGACCGCATCGCCAATTTGCGCCAGATCCTTATTGCCGTCACAACGATGTGGTCGGCCAGTCATGACAAGGGCGCCGGCGCTACGAAGAGCTTCGTAGAGGATTGCGCGATTGGTAAAGTCGTAATGGATAATGTTCTCGACGAAGTCAGCTCTCTCGTCTAGCGACATGTGAGACATGGCCATGGTTGACCAATGGACAGTGTACTGATGTATTGGATGAATGTAGATAGAATGGAGAGTGTTGGAAAAGAGAAGTAGAGGCACAGGAGATGCAAGATGGAACAAGAGAAGATGGAAGAAAGAGGGCAATAGACGCCTATTTATCTACCCCTCTTCTATAGACTTATGTGATGTAAGAACTGCGGCAGACGCTGCGCCGCAATACGCAGACATACTCCAAGGCGTATCGCCTGCATCATGCTGGCGGTTATCTATTGGCTATGCCATGGCTCTGTCAACCATAAAACCACTCGACTAAAAGTTTCTGGACGACCATTTCTAGCGTTAGTGAAATATAGTGAACAGTCTCGATACGAAGTGAGTTCTGCAATATAACCGCGGGACAAAAGTTCGGTCCACAGTACGCAGAAGAGTCAACCATTTTATCTGTCCCTCTGTAAATGGCCAGCCACTCCTTGATTCCTGGTATATGATACGTCTGGATGACAGTCAGGCCGCAAGCAACCAGACTCTGTCCGCACGAACCACGGTCGAAGTATGCGAGCGGGTCTTTCCAGCCGCAGCAGAGTGCTTTTCAATTGCTGCAAGCTTCTACACACTCTGTCTCATCTAATGGCAAGTCAAACGGGCTGCACCGAGATATTCGCTACGGTTGACGGCTACTCATGCCAGTCCTATGCCGCCGGCCGCAACTGTGGTACCATGGTTGAGCAGGCGATGATTTGAGGGACCATCTACCATTCAAAGACTGTTGATAATAACAACTTTTGTGGTACACAGTGCTTGCAACTGGACACCATGGCACCTGGGATGGATTCTGAAGCTTGGAAAACGTCGGTGTCTGACTCGTCGACCTGGAGCTTCTTCAGCTATGCATCAGGTGGTAAGAATAATCTCTAAAGGCATGGACTCTTGCAGACTTTTCCTTGTGGCATTGCGTTTCAACTTAAATGCTGGGAGCCATGATTGCCGTTCTACTATGCCTCCTATGCTTGTTACAGCCTTCTATCACTGCTTTGATCGTCACTTCATGTATTGGCATAAAGTCTTGGGCACTTCTTGGAATGGCCATCTTTATCCTTTGCTTATTCAATGGGACACAACATAATTTAGGAGCTTTGTAGTTAACTGTGAATAGAATTAGCTACCAGACCAGAAACTAGTGGATGTGATTACACTGCAATTACTGCTTTCCTTAGTAGGCGCGCCGTATATTGCCAACCAGTCATCAATCCATCATCAAAACTGCAGTGTCTCTAGCGTCATCGCAATCTTGTTAAATTTTTGATGGGAAGGGGATTTATCTTATACAAATTCAGATTCATGATAACAAGTGTGATATCAAAACTCCGACGGGTAACTAGTCGTCCATGTCGAATGTCATGCTAAATCCAGCTCTACCACCCACAGCAGCTCTAGTTCATTCACTCCAATTGGTTCCAGATACAGTATCTATGGTAGAAGCATGCCAAGCAGAAGAACTTTGCAATAGCGCTCGTCCTAATGCTCCTTTCGAAGCTTTTCTCCCTGAAGTCAAGCATCACTGACTGTCCCTGCTGAAACTGGAAGCATTAAATGGCTTGGTCCGCGTGTCTCCCGTCTATTATCAATTTCTGCTTTATCATTACCGCCTGCTCCGCTGAACATTGGAGGCAACATTGTGCATCGTCACTGTGAATGCCATTGCCGTCTGTTTCGGCAGACTTCTTAAGATCGCAGACAAATGGGGGAGTCAATGAATTTCTTGAAGTATATCAGGACATGCGCTCTTCACCTCAGTACTCGATCTTTGGTCGGATTTTGACCGCGGATGATATAATGGGCAGGTGATTATCAAGCCTCTCTCACGGCAGTATAGCCATTGGGCAGAACGGATCTCGCCCAAGATGCTGAGACACTCCTGAGTAATGCGCTTTTGAGTAGAATGGAGGAGATATGAGCAGTGCGCGTCTTAATCTTATGCACACTATGAATAAACAAGAGACAAGTACTTGATTAGATATGGAAGATTGACATTAATTCAATATGAGATATTGCATCCTGACCTTCGCTAATGTTAATGTCAAAGAATATCTCTCGGAGAAAGAGAAGAAACAGCAACTGGACTTGCTATCTACTCGCTATCTAAGAGAGGAGAAGATGAGAGGAAGGCTGCCCTGACAAACAGCCCTAGCTGGAGAAATGATCGGGCCGTCTGAGCAGGGCAACCTTCCATCACCAATCCATTCTGCGAACTTTAGATACCTGTACTCTGTGGATAGACTATCTTCACGTGAGTACAAGATAATCATGTGAAGAGAATTATTGCCGCCTCAGTGGAAGGATCACGTGACCAAACTTCTCTAAACCAATGAGAAGGGCAGGAATTGGAGGATAATGCCAAGACTGGCATCACGGGAGTTGTGCCTCTTGATTTCTTTGCCCGCGGGTAAGATCTACTCCGGCACCACAGCACGGCTACTCATTGAATATCCGTCTCCTTCGCTGGATTGCTCTTAGTAAGCAGGTTCGCAGCATCCAGCCCCCGCGCCGGCTGATCAACCGAGACGCTCGCCGGCGCGGGGTGCCGTGTGCCTGCCTGCCTTCTCAGGCCAGCGGAGGAGGCGGATATGCGTATCTTCCAAGCTTCCCAGTTGATCCGGCTCGTCGATAGTTAGGACCTGCGGGCGGCCAGTTTCCAGATTTGACAGTTGCCGGCATGCTTGATTAAAGAATGAATGGATCATGCAATCCAATTCTGTTCTTAAATGTCTCGGCATGTAGCAGCCGTGCGCGCGATTTGTCTGACCCCGACGCAAGGCGGGGCCCCTCATGATCCCATGGGCTAGGAGCCGACCATATTTGCCGTCGCCATCTGACTTGCCTCAATATCCAGACTCACCTCGCCTATTTGAAATGTTTATAAGAGCATTGATGCCTCTCTCTAATTTTTTGAGCAACCATCCTCCATAGACAATTTAATCCTTGTCATTTCGATCATCTTCATACACACACATACACAATGTCGTCCAAGCGCCAATTCGACCCCAACTTCACTCCCTATGTCATCAACTCTATGGGACCAAAGACCCCCGAGCGCGCCCGCGTCATTTTGGGATCTCTGATCAAGCACATCCACGATTTTGCTCGTGAGGTCGAGCTTACTCCCGCCGAGTGGATGCTCGGTGTCGAGTTCATCAACTCCATCGGCAAGATCAGCACTCCTGTGCGCAACGAGTGCCACCGTATTTGCGATGTTATCGGCCTTGAATCGTAAGTGCAGCGATGCGACCATCAAAATTGCAATATTCAATGCTGACTGACTAAATCAGTCTTGTCGATGAGATCGCCAACAAGATCGTCACTGATGAGGGCCTGACCCCTACCTCCAACGTCATTCTCGGCCCCTTCTGGTCGCCCAACGCTCCCTTCCGCGACCTCGGCGACAGCATCATCCAGGACCCTAACCCCAACGGCAAGGTCACCTTCATGCACGGTGTCCTGACAGACATGGAGACCGGAAAGCCCATCGTCGGCGCCGTCCTCGATATCTGGCAAGCCTCCGCCAACGGCCAGTACGACTTCCAAGACCCCAACCAGAGCGAGAACAACCTCCGCGGTAAATTCAGATCGAACGAGAAGGGAGAGTTCTACTGGTACTGCTACCACCCTACGCCTTACTCTCTGCCCACCGACGGTCCGGCCGGTGTGCTCCTCAACCTCATGGACCGCTCTCCCATGCGCCCCGCTCACATTCACCTCATGATCACCCACCCCGACTACGCCACCGTTATCAACCAGATCTACCCCAGCGACGACCCGCATCTGGACATCGACTCGGTCTTCGCCGTCAAGGATGACCTTGTCGTTGACTTCAAGCCCAAGACCGACGACCCCAAGGCCCAGCTCGACCTCGAGTACAACGTCAAGATGGCCCTGAAGAAGCACCATCCCAACCCTAACTCTGCCCCGCCTGTTTCCTCCTTCGAGCGCTACAACAAGGGCCAGAAGTTGTGAGGAGGTGTTTGACGATTGATGCATCTTTTGAAATTTTCACTTCAAGAAACAGGGTGGCGCCGGCATCGCCAGAGCAATTCGACTCCTCCTCGACGGTGTGGTCTGAATCCCTGTTTTCCATACCTTATGGCTGTATATATTACTTGTTTGATACTCTTATTTGCATGATTCCTGGATGTTAAGTTATTAGCATAAGCAGCGATTGTTGAAGCTGAATAGAACCAATTTCTCATTTCAATTGATCTCCAATCAGCTTGTCCCACTATTTAAGCCTTAATCGCTACCACTGCTCATTCAGTGATGATCGACGATAATATACCTTCAGATTCAGATCAGTTGTGACTAGCATCGCGCGTATCCTGATCCAGGCTGACCGGATCTGGGAAGCTGTCTAACCCTTCGCAATATTCGGAAAACTGCGATATATAACTCACCTCCTCATGACTTACCATCGCTAGCCACCTAAGGACTTGAATTTAAGGACAAATGGATATTACCCATCCACGAAAGAGCACTCAAAGTGCTGGATGGTTCCTATGGTTCCTCCAATGGAAATGAAGACTATGGCAGAAAACAAAACCCGCGTTATTAGCTGAGCGTATGCATTCATCTTCCCTGCCACGAGCCACTGGAGTGAGGAATAATAATATGGTTATCTGCAACCTCGTCTAGTATGCCTATCAGCTTGTACTTAAGCAACTTGGCTTTCCTTACCATTTACCATACCGCCGGTCTCGACGATGTCGGTTAGTCCACCTGGGCCTTGTGGCTGATTCCACAGCCTTCCATTGGTGCCTGGCGTGGGATGGATGGAGCGCACTAAAACTCTGTAATTACATTACATAATTACCTACCCCAGTATGGACCCGACGTGCGTACAGTCTGTCTACCTTCATTCAAAGACCTATAAAGGCCCGCCTGTCTGACTGGATGATATTCTCTACAGCATTGACATTTTGATTAATCAACCTCGTTGTCGTTGACAGGATACTTAGCAGTTTGTCGTCTACCCCCTAGTAGAATGGCATTATCAGCTGAGGCAACCATTGCTTTGGTAGCACTGTTTATTGCTTGCATTCCTGGAATTCGGGTCATTATCAACAACAAGAAACAGATCTGTCAATGGTGGAGCCGGAACAAAGATCAAGATCCTCCATATCCACTACTATTGTTGTCTGGTAGGATCTAAGCATCCAATCCCTATCTGTTAATATAGTAGTGGGTCTATGCTAATTATGAATGCCATTACGGCCCTATAGATCATAACCAGCTCGATAATCTTCAAAGCATTCAGGTTGACGCCCCTCCTTGCCATTGTCGTGGTTACCATCAATTTTCCCTCCCAACCCATTCAATACAACGTCCAGACCACCAAAACTCGTGTTTAAACGGTCGTTGTATTACTTGCCGCGAAGATATCGTCGTGCAGATTGAGGGTTATCGACACTCTTACTGGAAATTTGACCTCAGCGCCCCCAGGTGAAGCAGAAAGAAATAGACGATGAACGTGGAGGGAAAGTGATTGGCCATTTTTCCTCACCAGCTATTTCTAACGCTTGGGATACTTTCAGACCTTCCGCCCAGACAATCCCAAGAAGACTAATCAATGGTAGTGCTTGACACGAGACAAAAGGGTGCCCAATTTCCATTCAGATGTATTCTCAAGCTGTGTCGGTTCCTCTTCCTCTTCTTCTTCTTTCCTCCTCTTTTCCCTGCTTTTCCTCTTTCTTGTTCTTATCTACTTTGTCTTTTACACTTTTTATTTTCTTTATTCACTTTCTTTCTGTTGATGGAAAAGAAAATATCGAAATTAGACCTTTCCTTGTCTTTGGCAAAATAGTCTTGACTCGTTAAGCTGGAATGACGAGGTAGAACTTTCCGGTTGGAAAATGGAAGTATTATAGGACGGTAATACGGCCGTTGGATTCGAGGGCTCAAGTACCTAGGTACTCTTTCGAGAGGAGAGCTCCGACGAGTTGGTTAATCGCATATTGGGCAACCGCCATTAACCATCTGCTTTTTGGAAAATTGCATTTTCCGAAGACGTGCAGTATATGAATCGACGCCAATCCCAATAAAGAAAATCTTAAAAGATATATCAGGACCTACACGGAGCACTCAGTACGATCATTGCGGAGCGAAGCGTAGCATGTCTTATTGCATCCCCTTCTAGCTTTCTGTCTTGGTGCTTAATCTGATTGGTCGAAAAACAGCATGTTTCTGGCTTCCTAATTGGCTAATAAAACCGTTGTCATGTGCTCTCTGGGGGTTCTGGGGGGCTCTGCCCCCCTGAGTATATAGATATACAATAACTATAGCTCTTAGGCTCTTAGGCTCTTCTCATGATTCCCCTATGGATATAGCTTCATGGAAGCTAGGGGGCAGTAGGGCCTGGGGGGCTCTGCAGCTTTGCCAGCAACTTGTAGCTGTCTCTGGGCTTACATTGGCCAATGAAAAGCTTCACCTGAAGTTGCTCTGAAGATGAGGCACAGCCTAATCATACCTGTTGGTACAGTGCTATCAAAGAGTAGACATATGTGGCATTCCAGTACACAATCCGAGCACGAGTCAATGATGAGCCAGTGACTTCGCCATGTTTAATCTTGGTATTCTAGGATGCTTATGCTCCTTAACTATATATATATATCTAAGATTAGCCACGTTTTCGAGCAGCCATAGTCCCCATTTTCACAGTGTTAAAATCATGGTCTGACCAGGGAGCTCTCATTTATAACTGAACGCCCATTATAGATTTATGTGGCATTGTTGCGGAGCTTACAGTAGCGGCATAGCCTTTTCCAACGCTTAATCTGAGTAGAATAAGGTTTTTAGCCATTAATGAAGGGAAGGGAGGAGGACCCACTAAAAATCTGTTCTCTAAATCATGAAGGAGATCAAATATAAAAGACAAAGAAAACAGAGCATAATCTCTTGACAAAGAGTCAAACTAAAGAACGGTGGTTATACCATTATCTTATTTCTTGCTGCCTCAGGCAGAAAGTCATAGCTTAGATGACAGCTTGGCATGAGCTGTTCCTTGGCTCACACTACACCCCTTGTTATTATCAATGCAATTTGACATAGTCGCGTTAGTATATCTGCCAGATTCTCTATTACACTACACTCCAAGCTCTCTCTAGGATGTCGACCGCTTCCCCATCCGACGCCCTCCGCTTCCACCTGGCATATAAACCCCAGCCCCTCAAATTTGGCACCAGTGGTCGGAGGGGCAAAGTGGTTGACTTGACGCAGCTTGAGATCTACACAAATGTTCTCGCAGAGATTCGCTATTTGCAGTCGTTGCAGCTCTCAGAAGGAGGCATCCGCAAAGGCGACGACTTTTATTTCGCACACGACCTCCGGCCCAGCTCCACTGGCTATGTAGAGAACAGCCGCGGCGGTCTTTGTCAAGCAGTCGTGCAAGCCTTGAAAGATGGAGGCATGCATTCTGTCAATCTTGGGGCTATTCCTACGCCTGCACTCACCTATTTTGCTCTTCAAAAGGCCAAGGGGAGTATCATGGTGACGGGGAGCCACATCCCGTTTGACCGCAACGGCTACAAGCTCAATACCTCTAAAGGAGAACTCCTGAAGAAGGACGAACAACCCATCAATGATGTTGTCGATATTGTGCGTGAAGAGCTTCTCTCCCAGCCCTTTGCCGATTCTCAGTTCAATGAACAAGGCATGCTTCGCGATTCCCCTGCAGGCCTTCCGTCTGTTGCGCCCGAGGGTAGAGCCGCCTATATCCAGCGCTACCTTGACTTCTTCCAAGGCGAATCGCTCAAGGGCATGAAGATTCTTGTATACCAGCATTCTGCCGTCGGTCGCGATGTTCTTGTTGAGATTCTGGAGAAGCTCGGTGCTGAGGCCACTGCAGCCGGTCGCAGCGAGACCTTTGTACCGATAGACACTGAAGCCATCGACGAGGCGCAACTCAACACAGTCCAGAATCTGTACAATAGCACAGGACAGACATTCGACGCGGTCGTCTCCACAGACGGGGACAGCGATCGACCGCTCCTCCTCGCCCCCGAGGGCGACCGACTCCGCTTCTTCGGCGGTGACCTGCTAGGCATGATCGTTGCGACCTTCCTCCAAGCCGACTCCGTCGTGGTTCCAATCAGCACCAACGACGCCATCGATCGCGGCCCCCTAGCTGGTGTTCTCGAGCCGAAAACGAAGATCGGCAGTCCGTACGTGATCGCCGGGATGCAGAGCGCCGTCGCGAAAGGCCGCCAGCGCATCTGCGGATGGGAAGCCAACGGCGGCTTTCTGACGGGCTCTGATATCGAACGCAACGGCAAGGCGCTCGCTGCACTCCCGACGCGCGATGCGGTCCTCCCTCTGCTCTGTGCCCTGTTTGCAGCGCAAAGCCGCCACATGACCCTGCCCGCACTCTTCGCTACGCTGCCCGAACGGTTTAGCCGTGCGGCGTTGATCCGGAACTTCCCTCGCGCCACGAGCATGAAGATCATCGACCGCTTCTCGCAGCGTGAGAGTGGAGTGCACGATGCGGAAGAGCAGGCCCGTCGAATCCGTCACGAGCTTGAAGGGGTTTTCTCTGCCCGACATGGGTTTACTTCGATCTCTCGTATAGATTACACGGATGGGGTGCGGATCATTTTCCAGAACGGAGATGTCGCTCATTTCCGTCCTTCGGGGAATGCGGATGAGCTTCGAATCTACGCCGTGGCGGATACACAGGCGCGTGCCGACCAGATCGCGGCTGAGGGAGTGGCTGAACCGGATGGTCTTCTACGGAAGCTGGAGCGTGCGGTTCAGGTGTCGTAGTTGGCATTTCCTCCTACTTTGTTTAATGATATGTCGGATGATTGCTTACGATAATATGGTAATTGATTCCGGTAACAGATGGACAGATTTGGCGGTTTTCATCTGTCAGACGGCTGTCGTCCTATATCCTAGTAGATGATAACCCTGCATAGTCCAGAAGTGTGTGCTCTGCCTGATCTCATAGCTTACCTGAACAAGACCCTTCCACCACTGCAATTGGTAGAATACTAGAGTAATGAGAGAGATTCTGCTACAGTCATTGAGATGAAGAATGCATGCCTGTTGGAAGAGCTCAACTACAGTTCCCTGGAATCATAAAGTCTGACTTGTTCGTACAGTTTTGCATACAGCAATGGACAACGTAGATAGTGCCGAGAGGACCATAAAGCCTGGAGTGAGATAGCATTAGAGGAAGGCACCAAGGCCTCAAGTGTCTCTCTACGCCGGCGGAATGAACCAGAACTCGATAGACTGAGCTCGAGCGACAATAGCCAAAGAGCCGGCACTGGCATGCATGTCTTCCCGCGCCGAGACCATGTCTACGCATCACTCAATATAACAGACCGCTGCTACTTATCAAGCGGAGTTATTACTACTCTAACAGAACCGCAGACCAGATATATATACCATGCCCGACTCCACGGAGTCCAACAGCACGAGACACCGCAAAATCCAGCCATTCGACACCACCACAACAATGTCCCCGAGCCCTCCGTCCTCCTATTCGACCAGTGCCGCAAGGCCTCCACCACGGTACATCGAGCTCCGTCCAAAGGGAGGTGAGTAACGTGCTTCAGACGGAGTCGGACAATGGCACTTCTCCTGAAAATGGACTGACCCGTGTTCTACAGAGGGCGTATTGATTACGTTCCCCGAGGGCGCATCGGGCCAGGTCGATTCCAGACGCAAACGACACGCTCTCTCGCAGAAGAACCAGCGAGATCGGTTGAAAGCGGCGCTAGAGCAGATGGCTCGGGTGCTACATGCTGGTGGCGTTGGTTCTGGCCATAGGGGGGCGTCTGGGACGAAGGTGCGTGTGCGCTGACCTGGCTCCTGCAGGGTCTGTCTTTTTCATGGGGTTGCTGTCTGCTGAGACCCGGGCAGCGGGTTCTGGGATGGTTGCTGACGGTGTCGAATCTACATTGCAGGTTGAGCTGATTGAAACGGCTGTGGAATATATTCAGAGTCTTGAGAAGGAGGTAAAGACGCTGAGGAGTTCAGTGAAAGAGGTGCCTCGGCGTCAGGAGGGGGTCGCATGTTCGGAACAATGACAAGAACTGAATAGCTCGTCTTCCGGTTTTAATGAAATGCGATGCTTCGTGGCGCTGGCCAACTTCCAGTCCAACTTCCAAGACTCTGTAGACAACAGGCAGATGCATATGGTCGTATCACCGTGCCATGTGGACGGTCAACCCACGTAAGATACGAGCAGGCTGCTGAGTCTCCGAGTGCCATGTCTCCTGGTACCGGCGCCATAGACCTCGAGCACTCGAGTCGCCAAGAAGCCAAGACTATTGGCATTGAATACGCCGAGCTGGATCGCAGACCACGTTCCTTCATGTGGATCTGTGATTGGCCAAACAAGCTTTCTTGTCGAGGGCTGGAGGATGTCTTGGCAGGTGGCCGCCAAGAGTCAGGGAGACAACTGACTGCAGTGTTATTGCTCACGAGATAACGAGGCAGTTTACTGCGTCCTGTAGGTACGTTAGAATTTAGCGAGGGCATATGGGCTGTCTTGGGTCTAGTCGCAAGCCTCTCGGGCGTTTTGTAGTTTTCTGGAAAGGCTGCTGATGTCGCGCCGCTTACTATATAAGCACCATGTACGCTCCGGTGTTACGAATCGGACCCTGTTTGCAAGTTGAAAGGACAGCAGATAGGAAATTCATCCTTGCACCGACAAGATGGCCCTCCATCAGTTTGATTACCTGTTCGCCATTGGCACTATCTTCGCCTTCCTCGATGCCTGGAATATCGGTGCCAACGATGTTGCCAACTCATGGGCGACCTCGGTGTCGTCTCGCTCGCTGAAGTACTGGCAGGCCATGGTCCTGGCCAGTATCATGGAGTTTAGTGGAAGGTATGTTGTTCCAGCACCGTCTCTGCTCATCAGTATGTGTCCGCTGAGGATACTAACCATTACTATAGTATGGGTGTAGGTGCTCGTGTCTCGGATACCATCAGAACCAAGATCGTCGATGTCAAGCTCTTCAACGAGAACCCTGCCCTGCTGATGCTGGGTATGGTCTGTGCTGTCGTGGCTTCCTCCATCTACCTCACCGTCGCCACCCGGTTGGGTATGCCGGTCTCGACAACCCACTCGATCATGGGTGGTGTGATCGGTATGGGCATTGCCGCTCTGGGGGCCGACGGCATCAAGTGGTGGGGAGGAGACATCAACTCCGGTGTCGTCCAGGTCTTCCTTGCCTGGATCATTGCGCCTCTTCTGTCCGGTGCCTTTGGTGCCATCATCTTCCTCTTCACCAAGTACGGAGTCATGGAGCGTAAGAACTCGGTTATGAAGGCTTTCATCTCCATTCCCATCTACTTTGGCATCACCTCTGCTCTGCTGACCAGTAAGTGCCCGCCCGGTATAGCATGATGCTTGACGATGCTGACTGGCACAGTGCTTATCGTGTGGAAGGGTGGTTCCAGCAGAATCACGCTCACCGATTCGGAAACAGTCGGCGTGATCATCGGCGTGGGTGCTGCCGTCGCGCTGGTCGTCGCCGTCTTCTTCCTCCCTTGGCTCTACAGGAGGTTGATCAAGGAGGATTGGCAGCTGAAGTGGTACCACCTCTTCATGGGCCCTCTTGTGCTGCGTCGTGGCGAAGTGCCCCCTGCACCTGAAGGCTATAAGACCGTACAGGACTACTACAAGGGCCACAAGACCCTCGAGGAGCTGCAGCGCGAACGTGCTAACATCCAGAGAAGCCGGCCTTCCGATGAGGAGAGCGAAGGGACTGTGCGCGAGGGAGACAAGGAAGACCACGTTGTTGCTGCTTCCACTGAGGTCGAAGAGCCCAAGTTCACCCTCATCGGACCTCGCCCCGAGGGCGGAGCCTTGAACCCGGCCGTCCTCTTCTGGCAGTTCCGCCGCTTCTTCTTCCGCGGTATTGAGCAGGATGTTGTCAGTCTGCAGAAGAAGCGAAACATTCTCACCGGTGACTTGGAGATGATCCATGCCCATGCGGCCCATTACGACAACAAGGCCGAGTACATGTACTCCTTCCTCCAGGTCATGACTGCTGCTACTGCGTCTTTTACTCACGGTGCCAACGACGTCTCCAAGTATGTATCTTCCCGGCTTTCTCGAGTTTGATACCTGCTGACAGACTGACAGTGCCGTTGGCCCTTATGCCACCATCTACTATGTCTGGTCGACCAATGAGCTCAAGTCCAAGAGCCCTGTTCCCTACTGGATCTTGTGAGTATCCATTTTTCTCATGGCTAGTAACACCGCTAATCAGCCTTAGGGCTTTCGGAGGTGCCGCCATCATTATCGGTCTGTGGACCTACGGCTACAACATCATGCGCAACCTGGGTAACAGAATCACCCTGCACTCCCCATCCCGTGGCTTCTCCATGGAGCTGGGCTCTGCCATTACCGTCATCATGGCGACCAGGCTGAGTATGTCTTGTCCTGGGAGTTATTTTTGAGTGAAGTGATCATAATTGTGCTAACCGTCTGCAGAGCTCCCCGTCTCCACCACCCAATGTATCTCCGGTGCCACTGTCGGCGTGGGTCTGTGCAATGGCACTTGGAGAACCATCAACTGGCGCATGATTGCATGGATCTACTTTGGGTGGGTTATTACCCTCCCTGTCGCTGGAATCATTTCCGGCTGTCTCATGGGCATCATCATCAACGCCCCTCGCTGGGGATTGAAATACTAGATCTATGTTCGGAGGGGGGTGTAGACCAGGGGGAGAGGAGAAGATTGACAATGCCACTCAACGGCAGTTACGCTCTATTTAATGTTAATTGTGACTTAGTCAAGTGATACCTTGGGAGTGAAATAAAACTTTGTATTTATAACAGGTGATATATCAACCAACCACATCTACCATGCCGTCTACATTTTACTCCTTCCACCCATCCCCAGCCCCAAGCATCCAATTCACCCCAACCAACTCCAACCCATGCCTCTCAACCCATTCTGCCACCTGAAACGACCGCCTCGCAGTAAACCCCTCCCCGCCGACATCCTCCTTCGCCAGCGCGAAACCCGCCGGCTCTCTGAATAGCAGGAACAGATACCGGTGCGGCCGGGAACTAGACCATTAGCTCCACCCCCATTCATCTCGAATCAGCAAGGATACTCACTCATCCTTCGGCCCAGGCCCCAGATACTCCGTCAACGCGGTGCCCCCGTTCGCCTGCCCGGCCTTCAATCCCGAGACGACCCAGTGTCTCCAGAAGGCGAATTTGGGGTCGTCGGGTGTCGGGGCATCGGGGTCAACCAGGAGGAGTGTGTAGCTTGTCGAAGAGGCTGAATCGTTCTGCAATCCTGAGGTTAGATTACGTGGGGCTTGGAGCTAGGGTTGTAGGTGGACTACCTCTTTGGAAAAGGATACGGTTGGGGCTGTCTTGCATTCGCCTGCGCGGAGAAGATTCCCAAAGGAGACGGGCCTGTCGTTGAAGGAGACGTCAAGCTGGGTAGTGGGGTTGAAGTCCTGGGGGAGGAAGGGTAGTAAGCCGGGTGTGAGGCTGGCTTGGGCGAGGGATTGAGTGAGTTGTTGGGTGTGGGATTCGAGGGACATTTTGGTCTGTTGATTTTTGAGGATATGTTGCTGAAATGGAAGGATTGATATATCATCGTTGGTATGCTCTGTGGACTCGAGATGGGATTGTGACTGGCGGAAAAATAGACGATGCGCCGTCTTGGTCAAGTCTTGGGTGATACATGGAGTGTGCGGGGTACTTGCTATGCAGTATTTACTGTGTGGATTCTCATAAGAGTTCTCAGCAATTTATGCTTATATGATAGGCATGTCTTCGAATAACAACCCCCTACATCTTTAGGATCGGATGATAATCTAGGCTTTGCACAGAGCTAACAAGAACACCGCCACATCCATCATTGTTCTGGTGGCTATATAAGTTATGACGTCATTGTATACTGCACTAACATATATAACTTCCTAATCTCCTGTATCAAGATATGATCACTACCAGAACAAACCTTTCTTATAATCTATCTATTACTCTGAAGTTGAACCTGGTTATCAACTCTACCACAACAGACCAATCATGCCAAACAACACCTTCTCGTCCTCCCAAGACACCGGCGTCACTGGCGCCGCGAAATTTGTCACTTCCACACTGGGAAATACTGTCGGCGGAGTCTCCCGCACTGTTGGTGGCGTGACTGGTGCAGCCACTCGAGGAATCGGCGACACCATCACCAGTGCAACGGGAAGTGCAGGAAAGCCTGTTGGGGATGCGCTGGGAAGTGCCGGGACGGGCATTGAAGATGGGGCCAAGCGAGTTGCGAAGGGAGTCGAAGATGCTGGACAATGGCGATAATCCCTGCTACTACATACTGTCGAAACATCTGGGTGACTAAGGGCTGAATATCTGATACGATATGGTGGTGAATTGGAGGGAATTAAGGTTCATGACTGAGTTTGTTTTCGGGTGGTACTCATAGTTTCTACATGATGATCCCATAATATGATTAGGTCCTTCTATTACTGCCAAAACGAGCTTATCTGGATCCTCTCAAACTGTATATCCCAAATCAAACAATCAAATACTGAGAGTGGACTGCTCCTGGAGGCAGCAACAGTCCAGCCAATCATCTCTATCACTGCTAACCGGCATTACCATTCTCCGGACTTGGTGCAAGGGGATCCAGATTGATAACTTGGCTATTCCCCACTGGATGATCAATTCATCTCCCCTCCGGTGCGACGCGTAAGACTCACCCAGCCATGGGTTGGCCTTATCATATAGTCAAGCTCAGCGCAGAGGAGAAGTCGCAACGTCGAGAGCTTCTTGATCGTTACGGGTTATACTCTCAATTGTCTGTCCTGATACCGATCTCGTGCTTCTGGCTGTATCGGTTAGGGCGCTGGGTCTATCACCGCTCGACTCGGAGAGACGGATACAGTGCAGTTACTCGGTCTTCAGACTCGAGGACTTCAAGTCCTGGGAATTCCGTGAGGCAATGGCGGTCGATACTGTGGTGGCTCGAAGATGAAGTCGCTCCCGGCTGGGGTGCAAGGGAGCATTGGATTTTGGGTGCAGCATGGGCGTTGTGGTTGCTAATTTTGTGCATTCATCAGACGGGAACTGGTGAGTTGTACTCTGATTGTCTTTTACATGTTCTTTTACACAATAATCTGACACTAGTCAGACTATCTTCATGTAACGAAACGCTTTGGCATAGTAGCTGCGGCGCAACTACCCACACATTTTCTGCTTGCAGTCAAGTCTCGCTACAATCCTTTAGCACTGATATTCAACACTTCGTACGAGAAACTGCTACCATGGCACCGAATATCCGGTAGACTGATATTCTTTCTGATTGTGGTCCATGTGACATTGTACCTGAACTACTTCGTCCAAACGGCAACGCTGCAAGAGCACCTCACCTCGCTCGAAATCGTCCTCGGCATCATAGCATTTGTGTCCCTCTTCGCCATGATGAGCACCAGCATTGAGATTGTCCGTCGGCGCAACTACCGGATATTCTACATCACACACTCGCTGCTTGCATCTCTACTCCTGATCTCTCTCACCTTTCACGCAGAGCCTCTACGCTGGTACATCATTGAGACACTAGCTGTTACCCTTCTGTCCCTAGCCAGCCGACTAGACACCATCACCGCGTACGCCAACATTTCCCGAATCCCACGAACGAACCTCATCAGCGTGCAAATCCCTGTTCCCGCATCGAAAATACAGAGATTCCGAGCGGCGCCAGGCCAACACGTCTTCTTATCCTTACACACGGAAACAGCGATGAAGATGAACTCGTCACTCATACGGAACATGTTTCTCCGGAACCCATTTACTGTGGCGAATGTCTCGGAGAACAATGAGATAACCCTCGTCGCGCGGGTGCAGGATGGTCCCACGTCCCGAGCCTTGGATGCTCTGGCGGATTCAACGGAGAAGCCAAGTTTGGTCAATATTTACGGACCGTATGGGAGTATCGCACGCTTTTCAAAGCTAGGCAGGAAGTATGATCGGATTCTCATTGTGGCCGGTGGCGTCGGCGCGACTTTTGCTCTGCCGGTCTACCGTGAACTGAAGGAGCAAGTTGAAGCGGAGGGCAAGGGACAGGATAGAATCACATTTGTGTGGTCTATGAAAACGCTTGAAGAAGCTGCGTGGGTGATGCGCTTGGCGGATGGGCAGGCCTTTACGCAATACGAGAACGTCAAAGTATACCTGACCCAGTCCTACCATATGCGCAGACAGAAGTCTGCCCCGGATGAGAGTGTCGAGTTAGAGGAGTTACAACCGCAGAGAACGGTTGTATGGTCATCCGCGGAGACTGGACGCCCTGACCTGGGCAACATCGTGGATGACGTCCTTGGTGAGTCTGATGTACGCGTAGCAGTGCTGTTCTGCGGACCGCCAGGCATGGGGAGGGCATTACGGGAGAACATTGGCAGGCATGCAAGGAAAGGAAGAGAGGTCTTCTGGCATGCTGAAGCCTTTGGGTGGTGATGGGATCAACCCAATAGTCTATTAATGTCATGTGAGCAAAACTTTCATTGTGTTCGAATCATGATTAAGCAGAAAAGCAGGTTATCAGCACTTGGAGTGTAATCAGACATGGTAATTCTTCCTCTGTGTAAGCATCCACTCCATCGCTTCTTCCTTCGTAGCACTCCCATAATGTCATGGCCGTTGAGAATGGGCTTGACGTATGGTGCGTCCTCCAACCTCTGCTCAGTTATGCACTCCACGAACTTCGACCATCGCTTAATCAAGGCCAGCTTTTTATTACCGTACCTCATTTCATAGAAGTCCTCTTTCAGAAGCGCATACAGCACTTGTAATCTCCAAGTACTGCCGCAGAGCCTAAGCAACAGGCCGAGAGCACCTCGAAGTAGCTTTTCAGGGGGAAGCCTATCTACAGTAACCTCGCGCATGAGATGCCAGATGCGAACATAGTTTCTCAGGGAGTGAGAGACAAATCCAGGAACTTTTACTTGTCGCTCTGCAAGTTCATTAAGCGAGCTCGGATTCAGTGGCACAAAGGCAGTCAACATCCAGATGTCGTCCATTTTCTCGGGCCGGAGCAGCATATCCCTGAGTGCCTTTGGCCCCCCGTTCAACAGGAAAGCAACTGTTTCAAAGGCGCGGGCCCATTCACTCTGCCATGGGCGCTTATACTGCCACTGCCGGAGAAGCCAGCTGGCTTCCCCGTCTTCACTACACCGTACCTCACGGAGAAAGACTGGATCGTAAAGATGGAGTTCGTGGATCAATTGAAAAGCCGAAAGCGTGTTTGGGCCTTTGAGGATCTTCATGAGCTCTGTTTCTACCCGCTCACGGCTGACCTTCGTGCAGAGTTGCTTCGGCCGCCCGGCAACTCTCATCGCGTTCATGGTCTCTTGCTCAATCCGAAAACCAAGCTGAGACGCGATTCGGATCAATCAGAGGATTCTGAGGGGGTCATCATCGAAGGCGTCGAAGGGGGATGATGGCGTCCTGATGACACCAGCAGCCAGGTCATGCAGTCCAAGTCCGGTATGATCTTCAACTATCCCTGTGTTGAGGCTGTAGAACAGAGCGTTGATTGTAGCATCGCGACGATGAGCATCCTCCTCCGGAGTGCCAAACTCCATCCGCGGAATTCTGCTCTCCCCGCTGTAGGTTTCCTTTCTGAGATTTACGAAATCCACTGAGAGACCGAAAATACTATGGAAACTTCCTGTTTCTAGGTGTTTGGATTTCTTAGAGTTCTTTTTGATCTCGTGCAGCTTTGAGATTACTGGGGGAGCTCCGAGACGCTTTGCCTCCTCGATGTATTTAGATTTCTCCCTCGAGAGATAATCCTCGAGCGCGTGGCCGAACTGGATGCCAGTCATGGAGCTGAGTGCCACATCGATGTCTGAGGATTGACGATCGAGAAGTCTGTCTCGAACCCATCCCCCGACGAACCACATGTCCAGATTCGTCACATCATTTTTGCTGGAAACGATGCTGTCGCGACAGGCTAGAAGTAGCTGTCGCAGAAGCTCTTCTGCAGGTGACAGATGGAGAACTGGTGCTCGTCCTGCCGTCTGCAAGCGGCTGTTTGCAGTGTTGGCAGTGAATTCCTTGATTTGTGTCATTTCGGGTATTTTCTTCCACGCCGTCCTGGTTCTGGAACGGATAGGAGGTTTGAAAACCTTGATGGGCGCAAAGATTCTCAAGATGTGCAATGAAGAGTTGAGATGAGTCAGTCATTCTGGCAAAGGGAGAAATTTTGTAGTGTCCGTATCATATCGTCGTCATTCCTGCCTGAGGCTTCGTATGATCTTATGTTTGTGGCCTCAATTCTCCGACTGTACTTGCTTCATTCTCTTTAACTTTTTAGGTGATCATGGCCCAGATCTCGGCAAACTGAGACAGGCTGTCAGGGTCCATTTGAGGAATAGTCAGCTCGACACTGAACGCATCCGGAAACTCATCATCGTCCCTTCCCCAGTAATCATGGAGATACCTCTGCCCCTTCGTCCCAATCATGCTATCCTTCTCTAAAAAATGAACCTGTAGCTTCAGCCTGCCATCATTTCGAAAATCCTCTCCCTATCAGTCAAGTCCCTTACAATTTCCCAATACTCTGGTGGATCCCTGCGTAGTCACTTCAATGCCTCATCATTTGCTTCAGGTGTGAATTGAGAGGGGAAAGAAGAAGAAAAAATACATTCTTCTCATTTCAACCTGCACATCCTTTGCTAGCTTCATTCCTTCACATAAGTTCTGATCCGAAACAGCTGCTTGCTGTGCTTACTGCTTAATGCTCAGGGGCCATGACACAAGTACTCCGGTTGACCTGGTGATTTCATTGGCATGTTTTTATTCTCAAGCTACCTAGGCAAGAATCATGTTCTTGGGTGTCTTACTTTTAACCAATCTCCGGTCTAGATCGACAATATAACCGCCGTGTTTGCCCACGCAGACACCAAATCTGCAGGGGTTACAGCCTCGCCCACCAGTCTGAGCCTCGCCTGCCGTTGGTCTTCTGTACTAGCGGACATGGGTGAGACCAGAAAAAATAAAGACTCAGACCCCCACCAACCTCGATCTTCTTCAATCCTTCGTGCTCTTTCATGGCCAGCCATCATGGGGAATTCGACACGACAATGCTATTTCCCTGACAGTAGTCCGTCGAGTGACGTCCCCTGCTCCTCCGATGAAGTTACTGGATGTTGCACCTCTGGGGATATATGCCTATCAAACGGAGTGTGTCTGAACGTTGCCCATCAACCCTACGTGGCGTCTCGAGGGAGTTGCACGGACAAAGATTGGGGTGATGGATGTCCACAGTATTGTAGTAGGTAAACCCTCCCATCAAACACAGAATGAAGTCAGTTCTGATCGAGATATCTCGTAGAGGAAATCAATCGGGACGGGGGCTGCTCCATCATTAACCTCACCTACATCAACGGTATCGCGACATATTGCTGCGGCACTCCTGTCACCAATGGGACGGACATCGTCTGTCCAGAAGGAGCGGATAGCTTCCAGATTCCAACGGGGCACGCGCTAACCGGTGTGGCTCCCTTGAGCGATGTTTCCTCATCGTCCGCGACAGCGGCACCTTCTTCCACGGTCTCCTCTTCCTGCACATCTTCCCCGGATACGGCGACACGATCCTGTCATGACACTGCGATTGGAGCTGGAGTCGGTGTTCCACTCGGAGTCATCGCGTTGATGACACTGGCGTGGGCTTTGTTCGAACGAAGAGCGAGACGGGCAATGCAGACACAAGCACCGCCCGCCGCAGTAGTCACAGTCGACAAGGGCGCCCCTTATGTGCGAAACCAGAACGGGTTCGCTTCAGAATTGCCTCCGACACGCGATGTAGCTGAACTTATGGATAGGGATGGATCATAAAGCATCAACGGCCAATTGATATCCTGCCGGAATTGTGATCGAAATGGGAACATGATATGTGCTGTGATGTACAGAGATTGTTGATGCAAGACTTGTAGAACATTGATGATGTTCGCTTTTTCATAGCTCTAATTCAGGCTATCTCATGATACATATTATTAGTGATTAAGTCTTGTTATCTTGGTGGATCTGTCAGCCCCTAGAGCATCCCTATTTGAAGCTGACGCCCACCACAGGCATCATGGTCGTGGTCATACATTCAGGATCAACTAATAAATCTGCGTTGTATCATATCATATATTCTGTTCCTCCAGTTAGCAATGGTGTAATCAGATACTATCAGCAAGCACAAGTGTCACAGAGGTTGTGGTTTATGCAAGCAGCTGCTTTAGTCAAGGGCTCTGATCCAGTGACGATCAGACATACAACTTACTCACTGACTTCCATGCCCATTAGCTACTTGGCCGCACTTTCTAGGACCCCCAACTGACCATGAGGATATCGGAGCAGAAACCCCAACGGACCGCCAACATGTTACTCAGCATGTGTGCCATGGCGATCCAGGATCTTCACACCGGCTTCCCCGACTTCTGCTGGGTGGTACCCAGGCATCAGATAGGCCTGCTACGGATACATGATATGGGTAGGTCCCCACGTACATGCCGAATGTACTTCATGCCTTGGATGTCTCTTGACTGAGGTGGGCTCGAGCATGGTCAAGATGCGTCGGATCTGACCGTGTCAGTCCCTGCTTTTCATCCCGAGTATACATTCATCTTCAGAAGACTCACCAGGAAGATCCACTGACTCCTCAGTGGCTCTGTCCCAATGACCGCAACTTCAGATTGACACTCTGTGCGATGGTCTCCGGCTGACCGTTCGTAGCTCTTCTGCAGTGGACGTGGAAGGTTCCACTCAGGCGCGAATTGGTGGTTTCGATGTCGACATATGGAGCCGGACCAGCGGATGGAGATCGCATCAGGGTCGCCGTCGCCACTTTGTTCTCGAGCTCGCGAATTTGGAGCCTCAACAGCCGTGAGTCCTCGTCTTGCGCGGTCCCTGGACTGGTCGGCGTGGATGGGCCTGTCCAACCGGATGGCCCGCCCGCTGGGAGGGTCGGGGCACTGGCGCGGGATGCTCTCGCACTGGGCAACAGTCCCTGGTCCCTGGGAGTGGCTGATGACACTCTGGCCAACACGTCTCTGGGGGAAGCAGGTCGATTAGGGCTCTTGTAGACACACGACCCGGTTCGCGCGCGCAGACAGTTGCTGAAGGTTTGTTCGCGATTGCATCGTATCTTCTGTTTGCGACACAGGAGGCACGACGCCGTAGGACGCCGGCGCCTCTCCATTTCGGATATATAGCTCGCAGAGATGGGATGGAGGGGTGTAAAAAGACGAGAGCTGATGAACCACGAGCAGACAATCCGCATCGGCGAGTCCGTCCCCGAATCCGAGTCCGCGCCGAGTCCGCTAGCGCTTGATATCTCCGTAGGGCTCGTAGGGTTGTTTCAGACCGTGGCATTCCTCTCTTTAAAGCTATTGCCATCTCGCTCTCTTCTTTCCTCCAGGAACACACACAATCTCTCCGTTGAACATATCCACACACCCCATGTCCTCGACAGTACCTGAACAAGCGCCCATCTCGCACGACGCATCGGAGAAAGAACCTCCTGAGGCATCCGGAGCTGGTCCAGCCCCGGATGGAGGCCTCCGTGCCTGGCTTGTGGCGGCTGGTGCGGCATCAGTCTTCCTCTGCACCCTTGGTCTCGCCAACTCTTTCGGCACCTTCGAAGAATACTACCTGACCCATCAATTGAAACGCGAGACAGCTTCCGCCATCTCGTGGATCGGCTCACTGCAATCCTTTCTGCAATTCTTCTCGGGCATGGTGGGGGGCCCGCTCTTTGATCGCTTTGGCCCCAAGGTACGTCTCGTTCCCCCGGAGTCGACCGGCGACCAAGCTGACGGAAAGGGGACAGATCTTCTGGCCCTCCGCCATCGTCTACATTATCGCCCTGATGATGCTGAGTCTGTGCAAGACCTATTGGGAGGCCATGCTCGTGCAGGGTGTTCTGATGGGTCTGGTCATGGGCTTTCTGCAGATTCCGGCCTTCGCGGCGGTGTCGCAATATTTCGACAAGAAACGGGCTGCAGCCTTGGGCCTTGCCGTGGCCGGGTCCTCCATTGGCGGAGTCATCATGCCCATTATCCTGTCCAAGGGTTTCAATGGCTCGTCATTGGGCTTTGGGTGGACGATACGCGTGGTCGCCTTCCTCATGCTGCCGTTCATGGGGTTTTCCTGTGTCGCTATCAAGTCGCGAGTCCCGCCGCGCAGAACCCGTTTCTTCCTGCTGGCTCCCTACAAGCAGCCGCGCTTTATCATGCTCTTCACGGCGCTCTTCTTCATGTTCGTCGGCATGTTCACCCCGATGTTCTACCTTACCACCTATGCCACCACCAAAGGCATGGGCGCGACGCTGGCCGGGTACCTGCTCGCCCTTGTGAATGCCGCCTCCACCATCGGCCGCATTGTGCCAGGGGTGCTGGCCGATAGGTATGGTCGCCTGAACACGTTCGCCATCGGCGGGGTGGCCACCGGCATCTTGGTCTTCTGTATGACCAGCACCACCAGCAACGCCGGCTTGATCGTCTACGCCATCCTCTTCGGCTTCTGCTCGGGCACCATCGTCTCGGGCGCCTCAGCCACCTTCTCCAGCTGCCCCGACAACCCGCAGGATATCGGCACCTACATGGGGATGGGAATGGCCATTTCGGGGCTCGGAGCGCTGGTCGGTCCCCCCATCAATGGCGCCATCCTCGCTCGGTATGGGAGTTATTTCGAATGCTGCATGTTCAGCGGTGCGATGGGGGTGGTTGGCGGCTTTATTGCCTTTGCGGCTAAGCTGACGACCAGGGAGGGTCTTTGGGGATTGACTTGATTTTGGATCCTGGCGCTTCCGTCGTCTGCTTTCTGTTCGCATATTTTATTCTGGTAGCTGGCGTGTGTGCCCCCTCTCTCTGCTCTTTCTTGTTTGTCTGGATGGTCAGAATGGATACTTCAAAGACCGGTAATCTGTCTCCTTTCTTGATCAGCGAACCCAAGTGTCACCATACTGATTGAGACCATACACCCTAAAAGAATTGGCCAGCTTTTCTATTCCAACGGCAGCCCTGAAGAGGAAGAAGAGAAACAACGACAGTCGACTGTGCTAATGGCGATGATCGACACCATTCGGCGGGGAGACGATGCACGCGTCAAGGAGCTGTTGGAGTTCTTTTGGCAAAGAGATACGGTCAATCAGATTGTGCAGGATGTTTTGGGGCCGAAGTTTCGAAACGATTAGCTTGCCTTAGTGATGCATGTTGGTCTTGGGATGGTTAGCGGGAATAGGACTGAGTACCGTGATGGTTGCGTGTGGATGATCAAAACTATCTCTCTCAGCATTTAGTACGTTCCTACACCGAGACCAGTCAAACTCTTGGAGAAAGCAAGTCCATAGAGATGCTGGCAGAGTCTTCACAAAAGTTGTTGATCTCTTTTCTATTCGACAGTTTCCTATCCGTATGAACGTACTGATAGATGATTGTTAAGCAGGAAAGAAAAGACAATATATTCAACTAAACTAAGCACATTTGCCTCAGGTCCACTACACGTATTTACTCCTCATTCCCACCTCATCCTCCAGCTCGACTCCCAACACAAGACATTTAAGCTCATCACTATCAGAAAGCGTCTTGGCCTCATTCAGAGCGAAGCCGCTTAGACATACGTAACAGTGACCGAGCTGCTCGAAACGGAGACGGAAGTCAAGACGTTGTTGTTCTGCTCGATATCGATAATCGTGGCACCAGAAGGACCAACAGTGGAACCGCCGTCGGTAGCCTCAGCACCGGTGAAGGTGACGGTGCCAAAGTCAGCAAAAGGCACCAGAGAGCCGTTGGACTCAAAGTCCTCAACGATCCACTCGGCATTGTACTCGCACAGGTCACCGTCCACACCACCCGAGAAGGTGTGGGTGACCGACTTGCCGGTGGTCACGTTCTCCACAGTCGCCGTGCCAGCGGTCTTGCTGGTGGCGTCGACGGTGACCTTGATCTTGTCGCCGGCGGAGATGGAGATGCCGCTGAAGTCGTACGCATAGTCGGGGTACCACTCGTACCAGGCGTCGAAGGAGACAGAGCTGCCCTGGACGCAGAAGTCGACACCGGTCTGGAGGATGGCGGTGCCGCAGGTGTCACCGTCGATGCCGACCCAGGCGGAGGCACAGTACTGCTTTCCGGAAGAGCCACCGCTGGGGACAGAGGGGGTAGGGACGGTGAACTCGCCGGTCACAGCTGTGTAGCCGGTGCCGATGAGGACGGCACCGGCCCAGTTGGAGCTGTACTCGACTTGAGTGGTGTTGCTGAGCTTGATCACCTCAGAGGTGTCGGGCTTATAGGGAGGGTGGCTCGCTCTGTTGGAGGCGCGGGCCAGACGACGGGCATTGCGAGCTTGACGCTGTTCTGTGAGGGGGGCAGCAATGGCAGCCGTGGCGAGCAGGCCGGAGGCGAGCACAGAAGTAAACTTCATGGTGGTGACGATGATGGGTGAAGAAGAGACGATTGTTGTCAAGGACGAGTCTGAGAGCTGATGGTAGTCAAGAAACTGCGAGTCTGGCTTGAGCTGAGAGCATATTGGATGGGGAATTCAGCTCCAATTTATACTTGAGCACCAGACTACCCATCCCTTATCTCCATACGAAAGCAACTCCTGCGCATGATGCCTTTTCGCTTGGGACTCTCGAACTAAGCAGTTAGGATCAAGCGACGCCGCTCTATCACGCCATGAGGAGAAGGACCGGAGACCGATGGAAAATAACATTTGAACCACATCTAGTCAACGAATCCGGAATATTCCCCGTCAGAACCGCATCAGTACTATCATTCCCCCGTGCCTGGGAAGTCAGTTGAGGAGATGCAAATCCAGCAAGTCCAGACGATATCTTCTCGCTTCGCCAGGAGAAGAGCCGAAGAGACCGACGGACTAGACGGGTCTGGACTGGATAGCGTGGAAATATTGTTTCTCTGCACATCGCCATTGGTCTCTGCGTGCAGAATGTCTACCCCTCCTGCTGTCCATCGCAGGATTGATAACTATCTGCATGAGGATATGCCTTTAGACGCGAGGTCATGGCCACCATGACCTGGCGATCATTGCCGAAAGAGTCAAGCATTCGCCAAGACACTCAAGCAACAAAGTATAGGCACACCAATGAGACTAAGGCTGTGGTAGAGCACACTCTGTAGATACTTGCCGTGCGGGACTTCATCGTCAGCCTATCGCTCAATGTTCAGCAGTTCCGCCAAGTTCGCTTCCTCGGTAGTTGTACGGACTTCCGACGGTGCTCGGGGTGCACGGATTGGATCAATATACTCAATGCTAGTGTCATAGTCGATAAGAAGGTCGACAATGCACAATCAGGTCGGTGCAGAGTTAGCGGTGTCTCTAGGATTGAAATGGGCTAGAGGAAAGGAGGCCAGATGCTACTGTGGCGGAGACTAAAAGAGCTGGCGTCTAGATGGCGCGGTACACCAAGCTTTGGTCAAGCATCTTGGCGAATGACAAGCATCGTAGGTGAGTTTGGCGAATATGATTCAAGAGACTAAGTAAATTAGGCTATTGTCAGCGGAAATGGTCGATGTAACATTTCGGTGAAATGGGGAAGTACTCTGTCAGTTTAGATTGATTCGATATTAATTTCTGCAGAGATAATGCAAGTGACTGCGCCAGATGTCCAAGCGGGGGATATTCTTTCTTCACCCCAGGCTTCTTATCAACGATCATTGATGACAAGTCTTCGTCTCGTCGACCTATCAGTGTCTTCCTCGGTATTTCCGGGGATATTGTAGATTGTCGGAGAAACTCGAGGAAATGAAGCTTATCGTGCGGAGGTCCCTTCTATCAAGACTGTCTGAGGGGTAGAATCTCATTTGCTCAGATGTTTTGAGGATGTACTTTTTGGTCTTTGATGCAGTCTCTACCATCATTCGTGGAATTTATGCTCTCTGTTTTGAATATGGTAAGTTGTACCTTTTCCCTTGTTGACTGTATAAGACAAGAAATACCATACTAGTAGATAAAGCCACATCCATTGCTAATATTGAGGTTGGTCTGTCAAGGATGAATAAACTATAATCTATCCCTCGAGAGTATTTCTTGTCCCTCCTCTGAATAAAGTATCGGTTGAGAATAAGGAATGAAACCACCTTCTCCGAAGATCAAGGCAGGCCTGATTGTCATTGACTGCAGCCCTTCTGACTTCATAAGGGAATGACTTTAGTAAAGCCTACCTAGACATTTGAATAAAAATTCTAGGGTAGAAGTCATCAATTACATTGTAAGAGATTTTATGGACCATGACTCCATTTCCTTGTGTTTCTATGTATGGCTAGATGTAAGCTATTGCTCTACTAGAAGATCCTAATTGCAACCAATATTTACCAGTCAACGAATACAACAATAAGTTGTCTTCTGCTCAGCTCATCACTGATCCAATGGCTACGAATGACAAGAGCCTATATTTGACTTGATCCTGCAGGTCTACAGCCTTTGCCTCTTCAGACTCAGAGTATACTGTACGTTTTACTAGGTTATCAACTCTATCTTAACAACTGTGCATATCTGAGAACATCCAGTAAGCTGCTTGGTATATATATAGGTAATCATTAGGGACACACCCCCCCAACTTAGGGAGACACCCCCCTAACTTAGGGGCACACCCCCCTTCTGTAATTAGCTAGAATTAATATTATATAATGGTTAAAAACATACTAGTGCTAGGGTTCTAATAAGGGCTAGGGCATAGTGCTAGGGTATTATTAGATAATAATATAAAAGCTTCATGGATATTTATATATACTAAGGTTAATATATAGAAAAAATTACTATATAAGATGGTATTAGATAGTAAGGAGGGTAAGCATACTTATAGTATGCCTCCTCTACTAGCTAATTAAGTTTTTAAGATATCTAATATAGTAATTATATTTATATATAACTATATAAAAGTCTATAGATATACCATTATAAGGGTTTATTCTAATTAGACTAAGAAGGAGCCTACTACTAAGTTCTACTATTACTATAGCTAAGAAGGGGTCTATAAGTTATATATTAATAAAGATATATATATTTAAGAGATAAAGACTTATTAAATAGACTATCCCTTTAGTATATATATTAGATATAAGAAGCCTTTTAACTAGTAGATAATTATTATATAGAATCTAAATTATAATTATAATCTAGCACTAGTTTCTACTCTTCTATCTCTATATATACATAAGATAGAGCAGTAGATTAATTATATTAAGGTATAGTTTAAAGTAGGTATATCTATATATTAGATTCTTTAAATACTACAGAATTAAGGAGATAGTAATCTTATAGTTTAAGATATCTATAATCTATATTAGAGACTATGTATTTAGTTCCTTAGAGGTCTTATACTAATCTAATAGCTTATTAGCATGCTCCTAGAAGATAGTAATTAGATCTTTAACTAGTAGGTTAATAAAGATAATATCTTATTATTACTTTTCTATATATATAAGAGTAGCCTGGAACTTCTATATTATAATCTATATATACTTTTTATAGATTATATATATAAGATAAATAAATTTAATATACCCCTACTAGATATCATAGGTAGTTGTTGTGAGCAAGGCCCATAATATGCTCATGCTGCCTAGCACTCGCGATATGAAGCAACTTATGAACTAATAGCCCAGGTCACATGACCTCTTGCTAGTTATGATACATAATTAGATATTTCTACCTAGGCCTACAGACCCCCTATTCTAGTTCTTTAGTAAGTTCTTATTATATATACCTAGTTATAGGTTTTACTACAGCTTAGCCCATAATATTAGAACTTACTCATCATCTAAAAATAGA